TAGACGATTTAATAATATTAATAATTAAGAATCTAAAGTAGAAATATTTAAATAAGAAGTTATCTTATAAATTTATAAGATTATTTTAAATTATAGATAAGATAAAGGCGTAGATATATTATCTACTTCTATTCTCGATATATAAAATCTATAATATCTTTTATATATCGTTATTTAAGTTTTATTATCTTCGCGATTATAATAATATAGTAAAAGTCTTTATATAAGCTCTTAATCTTATTAATAACGATAAGCTTTAAAAGATTAAAGAAATTATTAATAAGATTAAGTATAAGAAAGATATTTAATATAAAATTAAATAGACTAATTAAGGCGAAGAGTATAATTAATAACTATTAGATAATAAACTTATTAATATTAGCGAGCTAATCTAAGTCTATAAATAAATAAATAATAAATAAAAGTATTAAATAATAAATAATAAGTCTCTTATTATTAAAGAGCTTAATTAATTATATAAATTAATAATAAGTAAGCGAAGATAATAAAATAAGATATAATTATTAATTAAATTAAATATATTTCTAGATAATACTTATACTACGCGTATACTTCTCTACACTTACTACTATTAAGATATAAATTAATAAAATAATTATATTATTTAACTATCTATTAAACTCTACTATAAAGAATATTTATTATATTAGAGTATATATTATTAATATAAATATATTTTTATCTAAAGTAGCTATTAAAGAACTATCTAAGAATCTTATATTAACGCTATTACTAAAAAAAGATTGCTATTTAAATATTCTTCACTATCTTAATATTAGATTTTAAATTAAATTTATTAATCTAATTCTTTAACGAGAAGATAATTAAAGTATAATCTTCGAGTTAATACTTATCGATATTCGTTATATATCGATAGAGGCTCTCGAGCTTCTTCTTTAATAACTTATTTATTCTCTCTAATTTCTCTATACACTTATATATCGCTATAAATTAATCTTAAAAATCTATAATTATAATAAAGGCGATTAAAGTTATTACTATTATATATTTCTATAACTTATATTACTAAGTAATCTTCTTATTTAATTTAGCTCGTCGACGAGATAGCTTTCGAGATTATTTAACGCGATAATAGCGTTATATTAATTTTTTTATTTATATTTAAAGATATAGAGAGATTTTAATATAGCGATTAATACTATATCTTTTAATCTTATAATTATTATAAAGAGAAGACTTATTTTAAATATATAAATTATTATCTTAATAAAAGTAAGTTCTATATAATAAACTAGATATTAGAATTTATTAATAGTTATATATATAAAGTAATAGTAGTAGAAATAGTTAAGGATTAATAATCGCGCCTATAAAACGATTATATACTTACTATTAAAGTTATTATTATTATTAAAAAAGAATATTATAAAATTATTAATCTATATATTAACGCGATTAATAATAATAAGATACTTATAATAAAGAGAAGTAGACTATTAATATAATAAGATATATTATACTTATATTAATATTAATATCAATATTATAGCGCTAGAGTAAGTACTTATAAGAGAGATATTAGAAGTTATAAAGAATAAAAATAAATAATTTAAAAGGAATTTTTATATTCTTTATTATAGCGCTATTACTAGCGAGTAATATCTAGTAATATAAATAATAATAATATAATAATATTTTACTATTATCTATTAAACCGCGTTATCTAGCTATTATTATTATTTCTACTATTATTAATTAATAATTAAGAATATTATCGCGAATACGTCGCTTTATTAATTACTCTCTTCGAATTTTTATAATAAAGATTATTATTACGTTACTTCGCTATAAACGTAATATATTATAAAAATAACGTTATCTATAAAAAAACTCTTCTCTCTTCTTTACTTATTAAGTTTTTAAGATTTTATTATAAATTCTTAAATCTAATATTATTCGCTATAAAAGCTATTAACTAGCGCTATAAAAACGTTAATACTAAGCGCGTCGATTTATTATAAATTATTATTAATTAATATTATAGAAGCGATATTATTCTTAAAGATAATATTAATATTATTATATAATATATTAATAACGCGCTTATAGCGCGTAAAGATTAATTTTATTATATTATTAAAACGATATCGTAATAGATTAACTCTTTTTTCTTATTTCTCTATTAAAGTTTAAAGATTTTTTAATAAGTATTCTATTTATTTAGATATCTAGAGATTAAAATCTAAAAGAGAAGATAATTATTAAATCTAATACGTTATAGACCTTAACGCTACTTACGCTAAGACGCTAATATCATATATACTATATTAAGATTTCTTTTAAAATTCAATTTTAATAATATATCTTATATATCTAGAGGCTTAGCGGATATAGATCTACTTTATATATCTCGAAGTTTTAATATTTCTTAGAGATTAATTCTACTATTAAATATACTATTAAATCTTATAACGATACTATATCTTTTATAGTCTATATTCACTAGCTAATCGCCAGTAGACTACGCCCTTATAGAGCTCTTCGAAGAAGTCTCTTATCTATAAAAGCTATTAAGTAAGTTTTATTAGAAATATTCTAATAAGTCTATAGTAGAATTAGTAATAATCGAAAGAAGATTATAGCGACGCGTTTTAAATAAATCTATATTGAAAAATAAAGATAAAGGAAAGTATTAATCTCCGTCACGATACTATAAACGATAGTACTCTTTTATTTCATTTCTTACTCTACGCGAAGGTTTTATAATTTTAATAAAGCTATCTAGATATTAATACGATAAAAGAATAAAAGTTTAGCGTTAAGATTTCGAATAAGCGTCTAATTAGTAATATTACTATTATTCGATATCTATATAATTCTTCTTTCTCGAGTATAATATCTTATAAAGGCTCGGCTTAAAAAAAAGGAAGGATAACTATAAAGGTCGTAAGAGTTTAAAGAGCTTAAACTAAATATAGTTTAAGACTATATTAGATTTAAGAGAACTATTTCTCTAATATAACTATACGATAGTATTAGGCGTATAGTAAAGGTGTTAATAATAGAGATTTAATCTCTCTTACTAACGTATTACCTACGAGATATTTCTACTAAATTCTCTAGAATTTAGTCTATCTTATATAGTAATAATTAAAATATCGTTACTAAGTTACATATATCTAAACTTCGTTATATTCTTATACTCGATACTAAGAGATTTTTACTTTCATTTATAATATTTAGAATATCGTTTTATAAATTATATAGCTTAATCTTTATCGAGTAATTTAGAGAAATAATATAAATTTAAAGCGATTTTTAGAATATACTTAATAGTATTTTAAATGTAATTTAGTCGAAGTAAATACTCGATATTATCTAGACGATTAATATAATTATATAGCGACTATTCTTAAGTTATAATAAGACGTATATAGATAAATATTCGAGTACTTCTAGAAGCTTATTCCCGAAGCCGTCTTTATATCTATCGCGGTTTAAGACTATAATACTCTACGGTCGCTATAGCGTTACGAAAATAATTATTCTTATACTTATTAATAGTCTTCTAGATAAGTTTCTCTTATTTAGAATAAGATATAAATATAGTATAATAAAATAATAGTAGATTATAATATAGGGTGTCAAATCGCGAAAAAACGCGTCTTTAAGACTAGTACGTCTTTAAGTTACGAACTACTATAAGCGAAGCGAATAGTCGAACTACGATTAGTAGATACTTGAAAATATATAAAATATAAATACGATTTCGTTCGATAATTCTATAATCTCGTCGAGTAAGAATCGAATATAGAATAGTCGAAAAATTCTTTCTAGTTAGATAATTACCTTTCTACCTACTATTTAATAATCTTATAATTAATATATCTACTATTACTATACTATAGAATAACTATTAAGAATTTCTTTAATATAGATATAGTTAGATAGAATAGACGTTCTTCGTATTTACTTATTATAATAAGAAGAATAGTATTAAATAGTAGTAAGAACGACGCTTATAGCTATCTCTTTAAATAGAGAGTCATTTATAACTAAAATATAGCTATTATAGTTATAAAATGTGACTATAGACTATCAGTTATAAAAATAAAAAATATCGCTATTATAGTTATAAATGTTTATTATTTCTATATACTTAGCGTATATTAAGTTTCAAATTATGAGTTAATCTATAATTTACATATTTTTAAAGTGTAATATAATCTAGTAAGTAAAAATATGATTATCGAACGTAACCGTGTATTAATAGTACGCTGAGTTAAAAATATGTGGTTACCGAAGGGGCCCTTCTAATACCCCTCGCGATATACCCCGTCACCTGAAGCATGACATCACACGGGCAACACCTTTTATCTACCTAGTCTCAGTGGCCCAAAGGGAGGGGTATGCCGTAATGAGCTTGCGATATGATTGGCCCCAACGAAGGACGAGGTAGGGCTGGCCAACCCACCGAGTCTGAATTACTGAGACTATTATGCACCCGGCCCGTCATTTCATGCAGTGCTTCAGATCGTTGCTTGATTTACCACGTCCTCTGACGCTCCTCCGCATTCCTACCGTCTTGCTAGAGGGCGGAATGATGGTGTGCTTGATGATCTATGTAAGACCTACTCTGAGTAAACCTTACGCTCCGAGATCTACCAGACTTGTCAAAGACTTCTCCGCATTCTCATCTTCAGCTCGGAGACGGGAACACTATTGATTCTGCCTGCACCTGTGAGCGTTGCGCTGAGCATGCTGTGTGCATTAAAGATACTAAATGCAGAACCCGACGGGAACAATATGGATTCTGCCTGTACCTGTGAGCCTTGCGCTGGAAAGACTGTATAGTCCTGTGAAATTTCCGGACTGTCCATGGTGTGAGGCTTTATTGGGGGTGTGAGCGGTGCATAGCCCTCCCGGTGCACAATATAAAGGAGACCGTTGGGAAGGAGAAACGTCCATCAATCTATCTCCAATATCCACCACACAAAAGCTGTACACACACTTTCACCATGTTCTCTCAAGTACTTCTCCTCTTACTCTCCATCACCCCCTTCTCGTCACCAACACCTGTGGCGAAGCGAGCATTCTCAAACGGTCCTGTCATCACGTCGAATTTCCCAGATCCTGCTTTCATCAACGTCGGTGGCACGTACTATGCTTTTGCAACTTCCAATGGAGCCCAAAACATTCAAATCGCAACGTCGCCAGATTTCGATACCTGGACGGTGACAGGCAGTGACGCTCTCCCGACAATACCATCTTGGAGCACAGGCGACGTGTGGGCACCTGATGTCGCCCAGCTTGTGAGGACCTCCACAAACACGATGATAAGTGGGAGACTGACTATGACAGGCTGATGGCTCTTTCGTTCTGTATTTCGCCGCCACTTCCTCTACCAACACAAACATGCATTGCGTCGGGACCGCCACATCATCGACGGTCCAAGGTCCCTACACGGCCAGTGACACCGCCTTTGCATGTCCTCTTGAGTCCGTTCCACCCCCCTAGAAATATCATATCTCGTCATTTCTCTAACCTCCCACTACAGCCAAGGCGGCGCGATCGATCCGGCCGGCTTCGCAGACTCCGACGGCTCCCTCTACGTCGTCTACAAAGTCGACGGCAACAGCCTCGGCGGCGGCGGCACCTGCGGCAACGCCGACGGCTCCTACTCCACCCCCATCATGCTGCAAGCCGTCGAAGCCGACGGGGTCACTCTCACCGGCACCGCCACCCAGATCCTCGACCGCGACACCGCCGATGGCCCTCTCATCGAAGCCCCGAGTCTCGTCCTCGTCAGCGGCACGTACTACCTCTTCTTCAGCAGCAATTGCTACAACGGTGCGGTTTACGATACTAGCTACGCGACCGCCAGTGCTGTCGGGGGTCCGTATGCGAAGGCGTCGAGTCCGTTGCTGGTGAGTGGAGGTGATGGAGGGGCGTTGAACAGTCCCGGCAGTGCGACGGTGGGGCCAGCGGGTGCGCAGATGGTTTTCCATGCTGATTCCGTGGCGGGGGATCCGTCGCTTCGGCAGATGTGGACGGCGGGGATTTCGGTTAGTGGTGGTGTGGTCAGCATCAGCTGAGGGTGTGAGGGAATATATGTATATTCATATGGGGAAAAGATGTACATTAATTGTACATTATGCGTTGGAAGACACGGCATCTGTAAGGACTCTGACTCCACTGATTTATGGTCTTGCCTCGGATATGACGTGCTCTTATGTCATGCTTTGAGGAAAAACGTGGGGATGTTGACGGGGTTTGGCGGAATAAAGTGGAGTGTGAAAACAGATGAAAAGACGTGCCTCGAGAATGACGTCCCTTTGATCCGATGACCAACGATCATGCATAAGTACCTAGAGCAGGAAAGAGCAACGGTTGGATATGATTTGCCTTTTAGGGTTACGACCCGTTCCCCCATTTTTTAAAGGCAGATGTTTCTTCGGCTCAAACCTTGTTTTTACTTTAGCGATTGCGGGGGTTTTAGCGTCATCGATCGACAATCGACCCTCACATCGTTCCGCACTAGAACACCTTAGCTCGGGATGACTCAACTATCTACCTTATGTTTTCAAGCACCTCATCCTTCATGTTGGTTTCAGGCGGGATCGGAAAAGTGGATGTTGTGGGAATAGATGTATGGAAAGAAAGAAGAGAATAATGGAGGAAAGAAAGACGTCGGCCTTGGAAAGCTTCGAGGCTGAGTGATGATGGATGTATATCAGCCCAGAGTGAACGGGTGGGGAGATGTTTGGCTGCTAATACGAGCCGATTCTTGGTTTGTTGATAGGTGTACTCATGGTGGGGTGGTGGGGGTCTACATATCTCATCCTCCTTCGCATCTCATTCTGAGCTTCCGATAGCTCATGGGCCCGTGCTGCGCGGTTGCGGAGGAGGATCCCTTGGGTAATACACGTTGATGTACACATTGGGTTTGGCGGTTTTCATATACACCTTGACCGGTCACGGTTCACTAAGGTGCGAAAATCAGGAAAACTGCTACTCAGGGGGGTGGGGTACTAATCGGTATTTATACACCATGACTCTATTACCGCGTGTTTGACGGCACCCAGACCCAGGCTTCATCTCTCTGTAACGAGCAGTCTACCCGGAGAATGGCACTGAAGGTTTGGCTTGCTAATTGATTCTCCGCCGAATGCCAGATCTGGTACCGTTGTTGCCCGTGCAATCGTGGCACGAGACCGACATGTAACTACTCTATCCATGAACCAGTTTCGTGAATACCCGCAACTATTATCTGCGAGACCAGAGCCTCCTGGGAGTCTTTTTCTCATGCTTTGACACGCTCGTCGGGCGCGAAAGACATGAAATTTAAAATGTGTGCAAAGCTCATGGCAAGGCCAGCGATTCAGGAAGGGTTCTAAAGTCCGGGATCATTGGACACGCTTTCAATGGGTTGTCTCTTGAGTACACGGACGGGGAAGTAGAGAGTTTCATGCCGCCCCTCGGCCGCCTTACCGCGTAGAGGCTGCGGCGGAACCAACATTGACAACGCGTGCTCCGTCTCTCTGGAGGGAACAGAAAATTCATTTAATTGGACTGCAGTCCTTCAAAGACACGGCACTGCGCTTCTGACCCAACATTTTCCACGTTGAGGAGTCACGTGATCGGGGCAGATGTATAACACCGGCAGCTGGACCAATCATTGGTGTCGTTCTGGTTAGGCGGCAGCGTCATGTTTCGGATTACCACCCAACGATTGCAATGGATTCGACTAGGCGGCAGCTTCAGGTTTCGGACTACGAGGGCTTCCCATCCAATGCAAGGCTTCTGGTCTAGCGCATGCCTTACGGAGGGCGGTGCGAAGGCTACAGCTTCTCAATAGCTACAATTTCGGCCACGCCCAACTACCGTGGATGATGCGGCAAGGGCTGCCAGCCCATGCAGATGCGCCCTTCGAACCCAGCGAAGGTTCGTGATTGGTACTGTGAGGGTTTGAAATGCGACCGCCTCATTCTGCTCGACTGGGCGTCGGTCTCAGAAGCATGACTACATGACTTCATTGTACTTTTGATCCAGCTAGTCCATTGAGTTCGCCTGCGGAACGGCCATGTGGTTGGGCCTTCATTATATCTTTGGCCCCATAAGTCGCATGCACCTGGACTAGCCCAAGCCTAATGAACGGTATTGTCAGGACTTCCCATCCAGCCATCTGCGATACCCTCCAGGTCCCGTGCCTGGTGAAGCCCGTTCGGATGGCATCCATAGCCTTCAGCCGCGTGAGTAGTGCCAAGTGGACCCATCCCCTATATCTAGGCTGGCCCCCCCCCCGCCCTTCATCTCCTTCATCTCCTTCAACATCTTACACACCTCTCCAGCAAGCCTTCGAAAGCCTTCTAGCTGTCCACAGGTCTCCATCAACTAAGCAAAGACCCCCCTCGACCCTCCTCACCTCTCCGAACACTACAAGTCCCAAACCCCAGAATGTGCCACTACACCTACCTCCTCTACGTTTGCTGCAGCGAACCAAAGGAGTACGATGGCGTCGATGTACTCGATGTAATCTTCTGCAGTAATTGCCCGCTCTCCTCCGACAGTTGCTTGTACGACGACGATTTCTTCCACTGCCCCTACGTCACCGCCGAATGTCTCGGGGATTCATACTTCAGTTGCCACGAATGCAGTCAAACCGCTTTAATGGAGGACAACAATGACGATGTGGACAGAGACAAGGATCCCCCCGATACTTTCTCCGAGTACTCAGACCCGGAATCTGAGGGTGGTGGCTTCCCCATCGGTACGTATGACCATCTCTGCCGAAGCGGTGTTTCCACTCGCTTCATGAAGCTGTCAACGAGATTTATCCGCTGTGCGTACAAGTAATCCTGACCGCGCCCGTGGCACACAGATTGGGACGAGGTCTACCGTGAGATTGAGTATAGGCACCCTGGCTACGACGAAGTACCGCCGATATGGCAGGGGTGAGGGGCGAAGATGTCGAAGAGACCGCTTTGATAGAGCGCAGACGTGGGCTCGGTGGGTCTGGTGACGTTTTTGCACTTGGGTGGAGTGCAGTCGTGCATGGATTCCGAATGTATATAAGGGGACTACCCTGCTCTTGAAACCGGGCCCAGAGGTCACGCTCTTGTCTAAGAATCACATCATTCTTTCTGAAAACTACTTACAGCAAATCACACAATTCGAAGAAAATCCCACAGTATCATCGAAAGCTTGATTTCGTGTATCCGAAAACCTAGTCCACTTAACATCTAGATCGTAGTACTATAACTAGAAGCGATTTCAATCAGTTCAGCTACGGATCGTATACACGTAAGATCACAGTACCGCCTCGCTACGGTGTGCCAGCCAGCCGGCAGGCAGGCAGCCCCGGAAGGTACCACGCTGTTCGTCTCTATCTCTTAATTAGCTTACCCAATAACGAGGATTGAGACGAAGTATTACTGGCAGGCATACATACAACGCTGTTTTGCATATGAGATGCCGAGAAGATTATGGAAATGGATAGTGATGGTGTAACCACGATTGCTTTGTAGAGCGGTTGGGCTGGTAGTGGTATTTAGAGATTTTGAGTGAGATCTGTTCAGAGCGGCTCCGTTGAAGAGGAGGAAGGGTCACCATTGTCATGGGATGCCTCAGGGCTACTTATAGGGCTACCAGCGTAGGCTTTGCACTACATATAGCTGCCCTGCAGACACTCAGGATAATCAACATCTTTGTACTATACCAGATTTATGAGTTATACTATATTGATTCTGTGACAATCACATGACGCATATAGTTACATGACGTTTCCATGTCAGCTCACTCTCATGTCATTCGTTAACTTCCTATGTGCGTCTAGTCCCTTCCATGTCGTTGGGCAACTCGGTCGTCTCATCGCGCCTGCCGGTCGAAAGTTCAGCCGGATGAAGCGTTTGTCTCGGAACCCTCTTCGGCGCTCCTCTCTGGTCTCCAATGCCCTGCCATACAGGATCATAACTTTGGCCCCCAGTGGTGGGGCTTGTTTTGAGCCTTCTGTGGAACAGCATAGCCACGACGATGAACGCGAGAAGAGCAAGTCCACCAAGAACACCGCCAACGATCGCACCAGTGTTGTTTGACGTACTTGAAGTTGCTTTCGAATGCGTTGAAGATGAGGCTGGAGCCGAAGTGATGGTGGATGTTGTGGGAATAGGGGACGATGAGGTGGCTGAAGACGTAGAAGATGCGGATGTGACCGATGGTTTCGCCCTGCTGAGAGCGGAAGTGGTTGACGGGCTTGAGTGCAGCGAAGTAGTTGTCGGTGAGTACAATAAATTGTCCGTGATTGCGGCGCTTCCGCACGCGATATATGCGTACGTTTGATCGGGTCCATCGGTCAAGAGGGCAGTTGAACAATAATCAGCCCCAGAATCCGTGCTGTCAAGGTAGAGTCAGCCGCAGAGCAACGCTTTGAATATCCGCAATCGAACAGACCAGTGCCGGGGGTCAGGCTAGGAAAAAGGATCGCAAGGGCAGAGACGAGAAGGTTCACAAACCATCCAACAGTCGTAGCGTTTGGATCACCAGAGATGCCGCATCCGCCGTCGCAAGCATGTGCATCCACACAGCCTCCTACCAGTCCACAGTCGCTGACGGCAAGGATGGCCGTTGAGCAAAACCCCCATATGGCATTCTTATTGTCCACCCTACAGTCGAAACCTGGATTTGCGGTGCGAGGCAGGCTGGCATTCCCATTGAGATAGCCACATGTTGACACGTCGGTGGTAGGGGTATCGGCTTGCCACGCGGCTTGCCGTGGCTTGAGCTCGGGGTGAGGCTCACTGAAGGCTCGTGGGTCTGACCCCGAGGTGTTGGGGGTGTTGGGTGTGTCGAGCGACTCATATCGAGATACATTATTGCGGGAGGTTTTGACTTTTCGGAGACGCGACTGGTCTGACTTTGCTAATTTAGCCTCCTCGGGACAGCCGTTAGGGCTAGGGTCTCGGCCCGTGGAGATCAAAGCTTGCTTGACAGCAACAAAGAAAGGATTCATGATTCATAAATATTCGATTCAATGTTATAATAGATTGTTCTTCGCAGAGAGAAGAGGAAAGTAAACACCCTCGAAGGAGCAGATGCCAGGAGCGGGCATTGCTTGGAAGTAAGATCAGTGAAGGCTGAAACGCATCTCGCCACATCGCCCGACCCTCTGTTCCTTCAAATTGTCTGAATCCTTCAGGGCCACCAGCGCCTAATGACACGTCTGTACTCTTCACAATTCTTCCAATCTCCATCCTTTCCAAATATCTTCTTTTACCATCTGCCCATGTCTTGCGCTCTGTTCACCGGTACGATTCGCTGTATGCGGCGATAAACCGCTGTCTGCCGCCAGCCATGCAACGAAAGCTCGAGGTGCTTTGGAAAACCGTAGCTGTTTTCCTAGTCGCTTCCTCTCTGCTCTTGGGCTTCAGCTGGGATTACACCAATGCAAAACCATACATACCCAAATGGTTCCATTCCTCGGATTGGAACTCCGCAAATGAGACCGGTACCGGAACAGTGACTACTCCATCTCCTCCACCAAGCCCGCCATCCAACCCAATTTTGAAAGATGGCAATAGCACTCTGCTCGAAATGGCACCGTCTTATATCAAAGCTATTATGACTCCGGAAGATACAACCTTCCCAAGACTGGCTTGTCCAGCGCCAACTGGTGATCGTTATCTTTATCTCAAGGCCGGCTCCACAAATATGACCCACGGCCGTACTCTACGCCCGAAGTATTTCTTTGCCCTTGATCTCCATCAATGCGCGAGTATCCTTCCACGCTTGATCGGCTCCGTTATTGAAAGCATACGCTTTCTCGGTCCTCAGAACTGCGCTTTGTCGGTCATAGAAGGCCGCTCTGATGATGGGACGTTCGAGATCTTATTGTCGCTCCGCGAGGAAATTGAACGCATCGGTGCCAAATACTATTTCAACTCCAGCGACATCAACCCCACCGTAGGCGATCGCATCAAAGCCCTAGCAGAACTACGCAATCAAGCACTCCAGCCACTTCTGGACCACGCCGATAAAGGAACACCCACGAATGCTACTACCGTGGTTTTTATAAATGACGTAGCGCTTTGTATGGAGGACATCTTGGAGCTAATCCACCAACGAAAGTATCAAAACGCTGACATGACCTGTGCCATGGATTGGACTTACGTAGGACCTGACCCTACCTTCTATGACGTTTGGATCGCGCGTGGGATGAACGGCGACACTTTCTTCAACATTCCCGAAGATGGAAACTGGAATTCCGCGTGGAATATCTTCTGGAATAATCCCAGCGCGTCCGAACGTCAACGGACGGGGAAGCCATTTCAAGTCTTTTCGTGTTGGAACGGTGCCACGGCGTTCACAGCAGAACCGTTTCTTGGATCGAAAATCAGATTTCGAACTTCGCATGAGCATGAATGCCCGCAGGGCGAACCAAAAACCTGGTGCACGGAGATGTGGCATTTTGGATACGGCAGAATCGCAGTAATCCCTAGCGTTAATCTTGAGTATAGCGACGAGGCAGCCAAAAAAATCAAGACGGCAAAGGGCTACGTCTCCAGATGGGTAGGAAGCGCTGATGCTGAGGGCGAAGAGAGGATTAAATGGGAAACGACTCCGCCCTCCACTGTTAAATGTATGCCATCTTATCAAAACCAGACTTGGCTGCCCTGGGAAGAGCAACTGCAAGCCATCGAGCACGAATCGCCTCCCCGAGAAGTACCGTGATTTGGCAGATAGCAAAGTTTGTTGGACTCTTGATAGGGTAGACCGCATCTAGTCTAAAAGATGTATAATACATTAATCTACGCAGCCCAAGTGCCTACACCAACTACCGAACAACAGAGAGCCTTCGTAACAGTCTTCTCAACACACCGCATCGAAGGCTTCACTCCAACGAACCAGATGACCCACGTTCTGTCTACAGCGCCCTCCAACAGTCAGTCCAAAGCACATACAAGAATCGAACCATCTATTTCTATCCTTCTCATACTGCAGCAGGAGCTCGCTATGCTCAACCCGTACAATGCTCATTTCAAGTAATGTCTGCTCGGCTCTCCTTTCACTTCCTCGCTCCGACAACCGAGCGAGCTCGGCATCCTCGATCCTTACCCCTTGGAGGTTTTACGTGGGCCGTCTGCTTCACTGAAAAGTTTCGCTCTGGTTCGCCCCGTGTTGCAAGCTGCTCATGGAGCCGGCTAGGGCACCTGCGGTTAAACATTCGGCGCTTGCGTTCCATTGTTAGACCGTGTGATTGCGGTTCACGCTCGCTTTGTCTGTCTGTGTCCCGCTCCATCTTGTTCTCCGTCTCCTGTTCTTCCGGTCCCTTGCGTCCCCTCGCGTCCCTCGCGCCGTTGGTGCATCTCATACTGGTGTCTGACTCGACCGGTGACTCGACCGGCGATGCTAGTCTCTGGAGTCGAAGGTGTTGCTTGATTGACGATGCCGTCTGCTTCGGCGGTCTGATCGCGAGGAGTTGGTGTCGACTGCGATGGCGACATCGGTGGTCCGAAGGCCTAACTTAAGCCATGGTCTGTGGAATGACGAACTGGCACGGGACAGGATATGGGTGTCACTTGCTCTGTAGTGATGTTTCACAATTGAAAACGATGGAAGTGGTCATTGAACAGGAACGCTGCCGTTTACCATTCGTAGCGAAGGGATCCGCGGCCCTCCAATCTCGGGATACAAATGGCTGTCACTCTGCGCAGTTGAATTTTTCCTCCGCGGTCGGGCCGATTCAGACATGAGACGCATAAAGTTTTGTCTCCCATCGGAAGAAGTGAGATGAGGGATGGTGTATCTGAATGGAAGATGACAGATAATGAATCAAAGCGTTGACCTTGAGCTGCCTGGAGTCGCTCTTCTTCGGAGCGAAAGACTAGAACGAATATAGAAAGCAACCTCATTGATTATAGGTCGAATATCGACATTCCTTGCTCAGAAGACAAATGGAATAAGCTGCAATCCGTCCATTTCATGAAGGAAATGCCAAGGAGACCAAAAGGTATGGAGCGAGATGGTTCCCGTCTCCAAAATTCCGACCCACTAAGCTTACACAGGTATGTTCATGGTAGAACGGCAATGTCTCGACTTGCCTGGGTTGAGCCACTGGAATCCATCTCGCATGCTCGTTACAGTTTGGATATATAACTTCCTGCTTTGGTAGACGAGGCAAGGTTACACCCTATACGGTAGAGCCATAAGCGAGCAGCACGACAGTCTCAAGCCCATGCGTTGGACTTTGGTTGTAAAAAGCGGTCTCGTAGAGTACCAATGGTGTAGGCCTGCAGGTTGAAGACTATACCCGACGACTGTGCGGACCGCACTATCACTTACTACACTGGCACCAAGGTGTGGAACATTCGGTTTTGGGCAAGCATACACATGCCGGTCAAGTCATATAATTTCGTATGGAGGTAGAAAGTACGCAATGTCTTCGCAGTTGCGAGTCTGCTCGTCCTAAGCCATGAGACAGGTGCTCGAAGCCTCACAAACTCGGCCCATTGAAACGGGGATTGCACTTCTCTCGCACCCTCCTACCGGAAACATCTCGATCGGTGCCACCAAAAGGCTTCGAAAGCCGGAACCGCCACCGGCAGTACCAAAGAGCGGACGTATCTCGATCTTTTCCCCTCCTCCCTGAAGGATGCATCAACAGGACCCCAAGCCAAAACAAAAATTTTCAAGATACCCGATGGTCTACGAAAGACGTCGACACGGGATGGATATTTTCATGCCACTCTGTGAAAGCAAGCCAGGAAACGACGTCCACGAGTTTCACAGGGCACCGAGATCTGCTCCTCCGAGGCCTCGTCGAGTTCGAAGTCTAGGTCAGCATCAAGTGCTTTTGATGAGTCTCCAGTGGTGTTGGCCGAAACCGTTGGAGGTCCATGCGGGATCCGCTAGCAGACAATGTTTGCTATTATCTCGGCGGTTATTGGAACAATCAAAATTTGCATTGTCCAGTAGACATTCCAGGGATCGGGGCCATTTTCCTCCCCTGGCTTGCACACTAATAGATCAAGTATGCTTTGAACCCTCTCGCCTATCCTTCGCAGACAACAAACCCGATGACATGTCATTCCGTCCTTTGCCCCTCCTTCTCTCCGCCCGTGGTTCTCCGCCAAGGACTCCACGTAGCTGCTATCGGCTACGATGGTAACAGCGCTCTTCGAATACCCCTTTGCCATATATGAATGTGACACATTCGTCTCCCATACACCGACAGACCACCCATCGTATCCAGCGTGATCAAGACACTCGGTGATGAAGTAACCCTTGAGCTCCCCGTGGGCAAGCATCTCGCATCCGTTCATCCCGTATAGGCGAATAAAAACCCTTGCGTTCCGACAGTCTCCGCTGACCGGAAGGGAGCTGGGGTCGGAGCTGGGGACCCGGATCGGAAGCCCATGCACTGGACGAGCGTACGCGATGACCCGACCTGAGCCTTTCGGTCCCTGATAAAGCTAGCTGGCTACAGCATTCCCACCCAAGGAAGCCACACCGGTGTGGGCCATCGCTGGATGGTGTCCGAGATCGCAGTAACAATTGTTGCGATCGGGTCGATGGCAAGACCGGAGGCGTCGCCGCATCTTAGGCTTCGAGCGTACCGCGACGGCACCGGTGGGGACGGTTCCCCGAAGCTAATTAGGGCGCAGCTGCTCGGGTGTCATAGGTATGTGGTAGGGGAGGGAAGTGGCGCGATTGGTTCTAGAGGTTGGGGGTGGTGGACTGTCTTAACGAGGTGGAGTCGCGATCTTGAGGCAGCTGAATGAATGAATGATAGACTCGCCCTCGTCGGGTGGTAGGGTGGGCGGATTGTTGCGATTGGTTAAGGCAGGTTTTTATAATTGATGGGGGCAGGGATGAGGGAGGGAGAGGATAACGGGCGGGTGTTTATTCACAGTATCAATCATTGGTGTGAAGGAGGTGGGATGTAGGCCATAGGGAGTGTGTAACCCTACGGCGCATAAGATGCTAGATAGATAGATAGACAGAGAGAAAGGTTCCAGCACACGTACGTGATGAGCGACCGATAGTCTGAAGGATTATAGTTGACGTGTACTTCATTCTCGGATCTAGTATTACGTTTGAAGACTGGCAGTGCGAGAAGCGCCCTTGACTACCCGATGATCTGCATGCTGGTGGTGTGTTCGACCTTCCGATCGGAACGCATCGTATCCCACCATCACTCTCCTAGAGTGTGATCGGGACCCAATAATACTAATTGTAAAAGGCTTTCGGGGCATAGAAGATGTAGCAGTCGGAGTCCTGGCCGAGAAGCAGACGAGGGACGGGGGTTGGATTCGAAGGCTAGAAAGCCGAAGTAGCTACTGCGATGGCTTTTCTCGCGAGTCGACCCTTGGCAGAGAGCGTGCTCGACTCGAGCTCCAATCCTAGAAAGGGAAAGCAGTTCCTTTCTTTCTTTGTTTCTTTCTCGGCAAGATTTGGCCCCGGTGTCCCGCGCTGTGCTCCCACCATGCTACACGTTGTGCTCCCCTACCACAGCCGCCGGGGGGGGCATCATCATCACGAGTGGCGGGGGCGGGGGCGGTCCTGGCGAACTCTGCTTGCTGCTGGCGGCGGCGGTGGAGGAGGAGGAGGAGGAGGAGGAGGAGGAGGAGCTCGATGCCGTCTTGTATCTCTGTCTGTTGCGCGGGGGGACGTTCGCGAAGATGATGAGGGCGATGAGGAGGAGGAGGGTGGCGATTATGCCGGCGGCGATGATGCCGCCTTGGACCATTGTGGGGTTTGGGCGTGTTGTGTGAGATGGGTGGAGAGAGGGGAGGGGGGTCGGTTGGTGAGTGAAGGTGGTGGGGAGTGTCTGTGCGAGCAACGGAGGATGGAGACGGAGATGCAGAGGCCGGGACATAGTGGAGCCGAATGGTACGGTGGTGGTCCAATCGGGACTGAGGGTCGTGTGGCGACGGGGACGTGCCGGAGGAGGGGAAGATATCCCGCACGGTCTGTCGACTTCGGTTCCCAATCTTGGCGTCTCGATGTTCTTGAAAGTACGAAGCAGCTTTGCAAGGTCATGCTCCAAGGATTTTCTCCGGGTGAAAAGGCTGCTGGTTGATCTGAATCTTAGAGCACGGCAAAGATGATGGTTTCAGGGCATGAATCAGTGACGATGGGGCCCTGCAGGCTCGGAATGCCTATTTTGGCGAAGATCCCGGGTGGCAAGACAATGGTATTGCAGAATGCTCGGCTCGAACGACGGTTATTTAAGCAAATGGTTTGGGGATATGCAAGTTATTTTTGAAATCCTGGAGACTCGAATTACTTGAGTCTGGGCGTTGGATAGCGAGATGACTCATTGGTGGTGTTGCTTCAACTGCCACCTTTTCGGGCACCGAGCTTGGAGACTGAGGCTTTGCACGTACGACTTGCCATGGTGAATGTGGGATCGGCATCGTTAAGACGTCGATTGCTCCTGTAGCCAATCAGCAGTAGCTGGATTTATCAGCATGCTAGCCGTAGCGCAATGACAAAAATGGAGGCTTCGGTTGATTCACGTATCCAACTTCTTGGATTTCTCGCTTCGAGACCGAAATTCACACCACGTTCTTCTCTCTTTCATCGCTGCTGTATAGAAGTGACTTGGCTCCAACGTAGGATAATGAAGACCAATTGACCCAATCCGGACACGAGTAGATTCGCTTTGGCTCCTACTACCAGGAAGAGCTTGCCCATCGACCATTCGATTGTAATCAGCTCTCCACCACCGGGGGGTATTGCGCTCATGCTGGCACTCCCTGTCTGATAAAGAGGTATGATAACAAGGATGTCCTCGTCATGGAGGTCAAGGGTTGTTGTTAAGCCTTTCGATTGGCAACAATATACACTCGGATTGTGCTGGTGATAAGCTTTGCGATAGTCGAAAAGCGGAAAAATATCGGCGTTGTTTCTGAAGATCTACCTTCCGCTTAGCTTAGGACTTCAAAATGTATGATGCCCAACGGACCCTCGAATGGTATGTGATTTGAAAAACCTGGAGCACCTGGTCCAACGCGGCCCTAATTAGCCACAATGACCTGTTCTTATCAAGCACGGTGAATGTTGGTGCGGCCGGCGCTGGAGCTGGGCCTGGAGGTGGGAGAATCGTTTGTCGGAGCTGGATGGGATGTTCTTTTTCATAGGATTCGACCAACTTTTCCGGTTCTTCTCTCATCCGATTGACAAAACCGGCCATTTGCTCCTTCATCATGACTTCTACCGTGGCTTTCACATGTTGTAAGAAGACCGCGGTTGGATTGAAAATGCCGACCATGCTGCGGTTGACTGAAAACTCAGGTGCCGCCAACGTGGTATCTCGATCTTGCTGGTAGTTTTGATGATGGAGAGAGTTAGAAGGAGTATAACGATCTTATAGAATTCAGATTCGGAGGAAAACCCTACTCATTTCCGAAAGGCAATCTCGACGAAAATCATCCACGATTTTCCAGCAGTGTGCGCGTTCACAAAGTACAGCCTTTGGTGCAATCACGGTCCAGGATTCAAAATAGACGGGAACCGTTGACAGAACATTACCCGAACACATTGCCTGAATTCGGAGCACAACGATTGAATTCGGGTAATTGTATCCGAATATCGCCCTGGAGATGTATAAGAGAAACTGCATGGCCAGATACTGGTGCTGTTCCGTTCAGTAATTTATTGATCGACCCTAGCATTATTGCTACCACTCGCCGACACGGTTCCCTCACCCAAACTCGTCTTAGTCCCTCGACCGCCTGGCTTTTCATTCACATCGAAACAGCATAACCACTTGGGTTTCATGCCGCTGATGACAATACATCAAAGACATACACCTACGAAATGAGTGACCAGGCAGCTAAGAAAAGCAAGCCTATGCCGCCGCTGGGAGCGTTTGCCAAGAAACTTGACTCTCAGGTCGATCGCGTCGAATCTGGGGCTTCGAAGGCTGAACAAAAGAGGGCGCAGGAGCAGCACGAAGGGAACACAACAAAGGAATACGGCTTAGGCGCAAAAGTAAAGCCCATGCCGAAGAAGGCGCGTGCCAAGGTGTCGGGGACCCATTCCAAACGGGTCGAGTCCTTACTCCAGCAATACGAAGAAGATATGGCGGAAAAAGAAAAAGGAGATTCAACAGAGTACTCTAGCCTAGGCGACGGAGGCAAGCGTTTGCCGAGGAAGAGAGATTTCCAAGAGTCGAAGCTTTCCCATCCTGATGAATATGAATCCGAGTCTTGGGGGGTCGAGGGAAGCGGGAAGAATCTAGAGAGACCTGGCGGAACTGGCGGCCAGCTGGGCGCCAAAGTCACGAGTAGTAGACCAAGGAGAACGCCCGCTAGTAAGCCAGATTCCCAAGTCGGTAGCGGCAAGGTACGTAGCGAGGGTGCGGTCATGGGTGCTCAGCGGCCTAGGACAGGCAATACGGGCAATTCGCAAGAACCGACTGAGTCCTGGGCATCAAGAAATGAGGGCGATGGTTTTGAATCTTTCGAGCAGTGGGACTTAGGCGATGATGATTAATATAAGAAATCGGCCGTGTAAAAAAAGAAGGCAGTCCAATTGATCAATGGAACAATGAATGTCAGCTTCTGCATATAGTGTGATAGATTGGTGGGCATGCATTTGCCAATGGAGTTTCATTGCTCCTGACACCTTCTATAACTTCTGCGGTTGTCAACTTTAGACCGGTTGTTCGGTACTAGGATCGCTGGCTTATGAACTGGATCTGGGCGAAGCTGAAGACCTGACAGACCAACTGACCTTTTCCACGCAGTATTAGATCTGACTTTGAAGGGACAAGAATCACCGATCCAGGATGCCATTCAATTGTGATAAGATCTCCGCCATCGATTGGGCTCGCTTGTATCCTGACATCACCAGTTTCAAATATTGGTATCATGACGAGGAGTACAATGCTCGAAAGATCGATGATACCTTCCCGCATGACAGCTATTTTCGGTTCGACGCTGTGATTTGATCTCCAGTAGTCGAATAGTGGATTGAGGGGAGACTGTTCTGCGAAGATCTAAGATCTATATTAGCTGGACCGCGAAAAGGAGTTGTTAGCAAGCTTGATGAGCCTACTTCAGGGTAGTAGAAGTCCCTAAATTCCTTCCAAATGGGTCTAATAAGCTTCCTGGTGGCCTCGAACATTCGGTTCAGGGGAATGACAAAGTATGGAGAGTTGTCCGTGGCAATGGGATCCAAGGACCTGAGGAGGATGGCGGGATCTATTTCAAACACTCTATGGACATTCTGAACGTTCTTGAGCTGGGGCACAGACGCCTGTACATACTCTAAAAGGGCATCCGTGGGCTGATAGACACCAACGAAATTGTGAAATAGTTTTGGTACGAGTTCGACCTTCGTCGTGGGGCTGTCGGGTTCCAATGTTGCCATGGTCGTTGTGTCGGATGGGACTTGGGAGATGATACTGGTGCCATCTCCAACAATTGTGCGGGAGGATACATTTCTATAGGAAATTTGGACGAAAACAGAGACAATTTAGAACCAATTGCCATCTTGTGTGACGTGAAAGCTTCCGATTTGTGACACAACCAAGGGCGCGAAGTCGATTTCGGCGCTAGCGCTTCACGCGCCTACTAGCTGCCGACACACGAGCAGGGGTTTGACAAGTGCAGTGCATGCAGTCTGTATAAGTCTCTTTATTCAAAAAGCTTCTGGCTCCAGATGTCTCCCCCAGTTTATGAATTAATGGTTCATGCTTGTCTACTTAGATTCACCATTTCCAAAGATTGTGTTGAGCAACAAGGGTGCCAGCACCCGAGCTCCAGGTGTCCCCACACATCTGTTTACTCTATTACCTCTCAATGTGCTCAACCATCCTCCGGTGTCCCCAGAGACTTGACTCTCCCCATCATCGTTGTCTAGCATCTTCATGTCTCGCCGATCAACTACACACATGCCTCTGGTCCATTGGCCTTGAGTCTCGACCCTGACGTCCTCGCCTCTCTTCATCTCCCAACACTCGGGTCGGATAGATGACGTGAGCGCATACCATATGCACACGATATCATGTAAAGCCATACTTGTGCTTCCCCCTTCGTGGCCGTGGTAAAGGGATTCAGACTTCTCAAACGTGGCGGAGAGGAAGGCACCAACCCATTCGGCAAGAGGACTGCCTTTCTCGATCAGAGGCTTAGTCTTTGCTTCAACTTCGTCACGACGCAGAGTGTGAGGGGTGGTGACGTCCAAGGGAAACATGATCACGTTGAGCCTTCTGTCGCCAATTTCACCTTTTTGGGGATAAGGCGGTAGCGAAGATGGTCCAGCCATTGGTGGCATCGTGCTCGCGGGATTTGGCGATGTCAATGCATATACCCTTGCGGCTGCGGTAGCATCAGCTATGCAATTGAACTCTCCCACTGGTGTGATGTTGCCAGGTTCGTCAATGGTTCCGCCCATGACTACAACCTCCTTGGCTTTCATGAAAGTCTTCGGATCTTCTGCAGCCGCAATGGCAAAGTTTGTCAACGGTCCAATTGCGATCAAGGTGATGGTGTCCGCGGGATTCTGTTCGAGAATGCGGAGAATATCATGAGGTGAGTGGCGGTTGGAGGGCGTGAACAAATTTGTATAAGATGCTGGATTGGTGTGAGCAGCGCTGACTGCAATAGAAGAGAGAAGTGTCGCAGGTGGCGGGGCATCAAAGAGATGGGACCAGGTTTCCGAGGGGCTGGTGTGGTGTGGGTGCTTTCAGCTAAATCAGTAGATGGAGAGACTGTATATTAGAGGCATCGTACCGTATGATGGACGTTGCCCAAGCCATCGATACCATCTTCCATCAATCAGCAGAAAAGCTCAAGTATTTTAATAGAATATAAACGGACGATAATAATCTGCTACCATGGTTTGACCACCAAGCGGTTCTTTGGCACCAACAGCAACGGTAGGCTTGCATTTTCGCATGGTTTCAAAGCCTTCTGGCAGACCTCGATCTTTACGCCATTGCATTTCCTTCTCGATGACGTTAAACATGGAAACGACATTACGAAGACAGCTGTTCAAACAGTATGAGCACAAAAACACAAGGGGAAAAGAGCAATGGGCCTTTCACTTTTGCGCATCTACGTTTCCGTACGTGACTGAGATCAGCAGTATTTCCATGTCCTCAGTGCTTGATGCCAGAGCCATTAGTAGAGCAAGAATATCATCGCAACCCTATGCGGGTTCCCAAGGTCAGCGCCGTTTCAGTAGCGTGGAGGAAAGAGTGCCCACCGGATCGGTGTCGATGATGACCCTACTTTTAGCCATACCGGAATCGCGTACAGACTCAGACTACAAAGGATGGATGTGCCCAGTCCTAGGTCCACCAGGCGCTTCGAGATCAAATTCGCCGAGCTTTAGCCGAGTATTGAATCACCCGGCCAAAATCCCACGCTCTTACTGCCACGAATCCTTTACTTCTAGTTCTGTAGAAGGCAAATTGGGATTGCAGTCACGTCTGAACGTTGACTGATCCCCTAGATTTCCTTCGATACCCATATTCTCATACCCGTTGAGCGATTGAGAAAGAATGCACCATGTTGAAATTATTCAGGAAGGATGGATTGATTTCTCCACATCTCTCCAGGGCCAGGTCCTAAGTACAGTACAAAATCAGGTAGCTGGGAAATACGGTGGCGGGGAAGCGTGGGGGCCAAATTTCGACACACCACTCGAGATCAGACAATCAGTAAGAATCTTTTCATAGCACAACTTAAATCACCAATTCCAGACTCCCGCTGTCACAGATCATGAGTACTACATATATTCAAACGATCTATTCCTAGTCTCCTGAAGACACGCCGTGACAAGAGTTTCATCGACGCAGTCTCGGAACTGGGATTTCTGCCGAGGGTCTCTGTGCCTCCTTAGGCTACAGGATTGGCATTTCAAAGGACACAGTCTGCCAAGGCACGGGGGTCATCAGAAGGATGTGCCTTACCATCATTGAAACCCTTTGGCTAGGCTCCTATATTATTATCGGAATAGTGGCGATAGGCGCGGGTAACATTGCGTAATCCTTCGGAGCGTTTGCCACAGGCTGTGCTGTTTCAGCCTGTTCTCATGCCGTCGAAGGAAGATCCTTGGGCTGATGCAGTCAATTGCCAGGGTCGGAAAAGACCATCGTCGTAAAGGTCATTCTTGGAGGGGTCCAGAAGAGGAACTTTTCGGGGTTCTGGAACGATGTTGAAGTCATACTCATGTGACTTGTCCAAATTAATTTCGAAGTTCAAAGGATCTTGACAGACTATTTTTAGAGATGGTAAATAGGCCTATTGTGCGGCAAAAGCAGGGATCTTTGCATCATTAAGGTAAGTTGCATATAAAGGCCCGACTAAAGGATTTTAGCGGCATTAGCGCTGACGCGTTCCCGAGGGGCTTGAGTTGAGCCTCATTATTGATCGTTGCCCATATCAACCATCCCTTCCCCTTCCCCTTCCCCTTCCCCTTTCTTTTCAATCAATTCTCCACACTCGCTGACAATCTCTTCCACCAAAAATATAGAAACACATTGATCCACATTCCACACTCATATCCAACAAAAATCTAATTACCGCCTTCTAGAACGTACATATCCTTCACCATGCGTTACTCCATCATCCTCCCTGCTTTCGCAGCTGCTGCTCTTGCACAATCCGCCAATGTAAGTTCCACCGTTGCCTAGCACCTCTCACAACGATTGCAGTCTCCTGCACCATTCACTCCGGATTTCCCGTTATCGCCTCCAAGCTTGATACCTCGTCACAACGCCTTCTTCTCTTGCTGTCAACCTGTCATCTTTGAATTCTACTCATATTGACTCTTTCTCCACCAGGGCAACTCATACACCGAAACCAACTCCCTCGGTGTTGTGACCGCCCAGCCTGGCGTCGTGACCACCCAGCCAGCTGCGGTCACCACTCAGCCAGCTGTTGCCACTGCTCAATCCGCAGCTGCTGTCGTCCCGGCAGGTGCAAACAGTTCAATGGTCGTGGTCCCTACTGGCTCAACTGGCAACGGCTCTTCCGGCACCAACGGCACTGTCAACTCAGCGAGCCTCAAATCCGCCTCCACCAAGACCTCTTCCACCTCCCATTCGTCTAGCGACACATCCTCAGCCTCTACCTCCCACTCTGGCTCCTCCACCACAAGCTCCGGCGCCTCGACAACCAGCAAGAAAGCTTCTGCGGCGGATATTGTTCAGCCCATCCTCGGTCTCGGGTTTGCCGGTCTTATCTTCGCCGCTTTCTTATAAAGTGTGTGACGCTCGGACTGCTTTGGACAACCATTTTCAGCGGCATATAATGCGGGGTTTTACTTGGCGACCAAGGCGGAGATAATGGACCGGCGTCCTGCACGAGGGACACAAAAGTGATAGGCATTTGGTGCATGGACAATCATCCTGTGATTCAGCGAGGTCAGACGAGAATATCAATGACTCTGGGCGTACTTGGCTCGTCATTAGGGCTTAGACCCATTTCCATAGATAGATCAATGAAGGATAGAGGTTGCTTCTGACCATACTGCTGTTGGAGATGACAAGCCGATCTCTCTCGCTGTTTGACCGCTTTCATTGACCAAGTCTTGCTCATAGGTCCTTTGACTCTGCGCAATCATCTGTGACGACAACATGCCTTTGCAAGACGCTTTTGGTGCTCCTAATGTTCAAGATACCGCCTTCCACAACGAGAAGCTGTCACGAGTGCGCCTCGAGCCTACTTTCCGACGATTGCCCGTTGCAGCGCCTAGCGTTTCAGATGCGCTTCTCAGATCTGGAGAGGGTCCCCTGTTGGAATGCATCTTTGTTCCTCTCGGTCTCTTTCTTTCTCCCTTGAATACAACATACCTACAACTTTCAACAAACTGTAGATCAATTATATCGAAGAAACCGATCCTAGAATAAAAATGCCTGTGCCCGCCTGATCTACGGCGCAAAGACCCCTGATCCCTGTCAGCTTCGAACGTGGGGGGGCGAGGACATTTCTCCGCCAATTACTTCTCCACCATCCCCTCTGCAATTACAAGTTACGACCGGCGTCTGAAAGGTTTATAGTGTTCTACAAATCGGGTATACACCCGAGCATCTCATAATAACCAGTAGTAGTCTCCGAGCTCGCTCCAGAGGGAGATCTCCCAGTGTCCGCATTCTGCCACTAGACCTCTCGACGGCCTTTTGATGTCAATTGAAGTCTTGACGACATTCATCGGATGAACGTCACTCCTCACTACGTGTTGGAGTCCAATTGGTCCATGGCGGTTACCGGAGTCGCGGTGGTCTCATATTCATGTTGACCGCGAAGGCCAGCTCTCCTGGAAGCAGAATCGCAGCACTTCATCCAGCTTTCAAACCTCTCTGACTTGAGCTTCCATTGTCGACTGAGCTCCTCACACTCCTCCAACTCACGCGGCACTTAAGTCTGCACGCCCATTGAGCCCTCGCGCAGTCTGTGCACAGCAGGCCCGTCGAAATTCACTTCGCAGGCCCCTCTCCCAGACTCGGAATGTTCCTCACCGGTTCTTGGTTCTGGCGCGGCTTCCAATCAGCAATATTCTATTACATCTCTTGTGCTCCCTGTACGAAGCTGAATTATCGTCGGAAACGCCGAAAACAATTGAAGCGTGAAAGGTCAGAAAGGGCGCTACATGAAGCCGAGGAAGGTTTCCAGCAGCATCCTTCTCCATTCAGCACCAATCCTTACTGGAAGGAAGAGATATCGCTTGGCCCAGGTCCACCGCAAAGGAAAGCAAATAGGGATGGAAAGGGCAGGCCTAAAGATAGCAGGGGATTGCGGACTTGGGGAGCAGGGAGCAGTACGGAGACTGGCGCGAGTAGTGCAGATACAGTGGTCGGAGAGGAGGGCGGTGAGAAGATAAGAGATAGCGGAGAAGGTTGGAATAAGAGGAGGTATCAGCGGGAGGATGAGATACTTTGGGGAAAGGAAGAGAAGGAGGGCAAACCGACGGGAATGTCGCTTTCGAGGTCGGCCAGCGGCAATGCGAGCTATTACCAGGCAAGGAACCCGGCGGTCAACGACCTGCATCCGCCCGTTGTGAGCACTCAGCCGACGAACCGAAGTGAAACGCAATGGATGCTGCAGCCACCGCCAAAAGCGAAGATCATGGAAGGAAAGGAGAGAGCAAGTTCGCCCAACAGAAGCAGGAGCGGAAGTGGTGCTAGCAAGGACAGCAAGACCAGTGGGAAGAAGCCCGAAAGCCTGGGTCGTCAGGTTGGCGAACGTCTGATGGAATCGAAGCTCAAGCGGGGAGACAATCCAGCAGCAGCTTCGTCTTCTGTGGCTATGAGCAGGGTCTCTTCAGCCAGAAGCACTGCTTCATCGATAAAAATCGCCCCGGGCCAACCGCACGACAGAGATCCGCCGTTTCCTCTCTCCCAGCCATCATTCGAGTCAATGAACCGCAAACCTCCGCCCCCACCAATCAGCATCTCCTCTGAACCTTTCCTTCTTCCACCACCTGCTGTTCGCCCACCATTGTCGACCATACCGTCAGCTTCTCTACCTCAAAAGCCAAAGGACCGACCACCACACCTTCGTCCTTTGCTTATCTCAACCAACAGCGCCTCATCCCTTCAAGTCCTGCAAGAACTCGTCGCACCGGCCACTCAACTCAACATCATCAAGTCTGCGTCTGCTGCCATACCAGATGCTGCCGTAAGTGTGAAGCTCCCGCCCGTGAGCCATCAAGAAGATGCGGATTTGCGGCTGCCGGAAGTGGAGAGCTGGTTTCCGGAGAGTGGATGGAGCTTTCCTTCAAAGTCGGCGCCGGTGCCTGGACAGAGATGGAGCATGGAAACCTAGAGCAGGCTCAGGTCTGGAATCGAGGGGGGAACGGGAATTGCATTTGCATTTGATGTCTGAATGGCTTGAAAGATGTACAGAGTACTCCCTTGCATTTGGATTTGGTACGTCATGCGCTTTCATCTGTAGCGTTTCAGCGAGTCTGTTTGCATTCTTCGGGCGGCTCATGATCACTTACGACCTCGAATGTTAGATAAGTTGAGATTCTGACTCAATGAGGTACTCATCAACACGCAGCCCTCGTGATCAACCCAAAAGACCTTGCACGAAGAGATGAAAACCCTTCCGTAATTGCCTTTCAACAGTCTGATCGATCATGATGACCTCGTTCTTCTAGTTGCGTTCCATCGTCCCACGCTGTCTGCCGCATTACAGGCCGTCGTTCGAGAGGAACGCAAGGGCCCGCCACGGTGCTCGTAGTGCCGTGCTGCGCATTCGGGTAGTGGACATTCGGGTAGTGGACAATTGAGACAGACTCCTGCGCACTTGACCTCGTTCTTCTAGTTGCGTTCCATCGTCCCACGCTGTCTGCTATATTTATAGGCCGTCTTTCGAGATGAACGTAGGGCCCGCTATGGTGGTACTGCGCGTTCGGGTAGTGGACATGACAGACGCAGACCGTCTTCCAGTTGCGTTCCATCGTCGGCGCAACAGGCCGTCGTCGAGAGGAACGCAATGGTGGTACTGCAATTGGGTAGTGGACAATTGGGACAGACTCCTGCGCACTGCCTCAGTGCGTTCCATCGTCGTGCTGCATCACAGGCCGTGTCGGAGGTTTGCACATGGTGGTACTAAAGCGCATTGGGTAGTGGATAATTAGGACCACTCTTGCTGCGCACTTCCTCTTCTTCCAGTTGCGCCATCGCCCACGCTGCTTTTTCCCCGAGGTCTCAACACTAGAGCCTGTGCACACTCTTGCGGGGCACTGCAGAGGTCTCAACACTAGAGCTTGAGTTGTGTCACCGTGTGCAGGGCTCACATACATATGCAATTTCGGTAAGGACCACGTTGTCCATCACTTTCTAGATAGGGTGTCACGCTGTCCAGAATGCTGTATTGTCGGTGATGGATGTGTTATGGTGTTGACGGCATGCTGCTATATACCACATCGGTGTTAACACTATGAGGAAAATAGCACCGGTGTTAACACTGAAAGAGAAACACCACTTGTACTAACTTTGCAGGCGCAACAGGACCGCTCTGACAACTTTCTGTTCGTGCGATCAGATTCAATGGTTTATCAGCTATCTTCCTGTGACATTTGACATTTTGCATGGCTTGCCATTCTTTGCATGGGCCGGATTTCACTGTGGGGTTTCCTAAGGTCCATGCAACACGATGAACCTCTTGAGCGAGCCTTATCACCGCACCCCTCTCAACACCCACGGAGCCAGATCGGCAGTTCAATCCTTCTCCCCTCTACTCATCAACCCCCTTCTTCCTACCAACCAACCACGTGCCCTCCCGAGAAGACAAACACCCCAATGTCGTAACCCATACCCGCAACCCGCAGAGTCCGCGCCCTCCGGATCCCGGCCGACGGCTCACCTCCGCACCTGATCACCCTCGAGACGATGGTGACCGAGCCCGTTCCGCCCCCGCAGTCGAACTCCTACGAGGGGCTGCTCTCGCACCTGGGGAAGACGGAAAAGGCCCGTCACGTGCCCAACGTGAAGGCATTCTAAACGCTGAGAGGATGGGAGGACCGCACGTGCAGCTGGGTCCACTACGGGAACGGATCGATGAAGGATGTGGAAGGGATGTATTACATCTTCTTGGCCGTCGATCACGACAGATTGCCACCGAACAGGCATCTCTCGACCGACCTGTTCGATTGCTGCGGGGACGTATTCTTGCTCAAGATGGTCAACTGGCCGGAAAAACGCGCGGCCGATTACGCCGATCCGATCGACTGCTTACGACATCTGAGGCACGAATACCTTTTCCCGGAGTATGCGGATGTGGACGATCGGGTTCTGGAGAGTGATCTGTTGGCGGCGACGGTCAGGGAGTTGCTCCGCGGGGCGGTCTTGGCGATGAGGAATCGGGGTGAGATGGTGGATGAGGATAAAGTAGGTCGACTCCTGCAATTCGGCTTTGCGGCAAAGGCTCACCGCACTGCAGTATCTCCCACCCTATCACGGAACGCCATCTGGTAAGGAATCATCTTTTTCTGCAAATGTGCACGATGAGCCGGTATGTTGCTGCCCTCTTAGCTTGCAGAGTACTTGACTAATGAGGATGTCAGGGGCACGATGGTACGGTATCCTCGTCTCCCAGGGGCGCGGGGGAGCTTCAGGAGGACTAGGATGATTCACCGATGGTAATTTGCCTCGACGAGACCACAAAGGTGAGAAGGTAGACGGAGTAGCATTGGTCATAGCGGAACGGTCTAAGTTGTGATTTGGCTTCATGGATCCTCGTCGTCCTCGCCATCACCAGCGTGGCAAGTAGTGAGGGAGCAGGAAAGCAATGTTTCCTCAGAACACAGCGAACAGATCAAGATCATTAGAAATTAGACGTGAAGATGTATGTCCTAAAGCATCTTAAAACCCCAATGGGTGCCGGTTTTGAGTGGTGCGTGAAGCCCGTATATCTATCCGAGAAGTGGAGTCTAGAACTGGATGGTATCTATTTACCTTGTCGGTCGGCCCCCACTCCAAGACGTGGGGCAAGTGAGCGAACATGAATAAATTTCCTCAACGCGGCTTCGTCCCAAGGGAATACCGAGTGCGTTCTCGACCAATGGGGCTCCAAAAGAAAGATCGGTGGCAGCAGGACGATTACATGCATTAACAGTGACGTATCAGAGCTGCTCGCACATCGGACAGCGAGGGAAGTTTGCAAAATGATCACAAAACATGCGTGCTGTAGGGAAGAGCAGGGAAAGAGGTGAGTGGATCATCCGATTGATGCACTTGGAGTGTCTCTATCTTGGCACATTCGAAGCTGATCGGTGCATGAGTAGATCCGTATGTAAGTTCTGCGGGGAGCGCTGGTGATCCAAAAGCGTCGCGCGGCAGCACGGCGGGATTGCAAGAGACGTAGAAGAGCTTCTCAGCTACTAAGAGAAGAAGTGCAGTGATTTTCAGTACCCAAAAATGAAGAACCATTAAGGTTGTTCTTTTGGCGAAGTTTCGCTTTTTGGTGCGGAGCAGATCTACAAAGCCTCTTGAGTCGGATCGATACTGACTCATTCATTACCACCTCCAACGGATCGAAAAGCAGCCACAGTCTGCGCGCTACTCACAGCGATACTGATCAAAGCCAGTGCGATACTGATGGTGCCAAACACAAGCACAGCCCAGAACGTCACGTGCTGCACGCGATCACGTTTGTCCTTCCACATCTGATACCAGCCGCTCGGTTTCCGGTTGTCCATGTAGAACTTGATCTCCCGAAGTCGAGAGCTGAAGCGCGGAAAGTTACTGAACGAACGCACGGATTCGCTTTCGCCAACCAGGGCCGGGTAAGGGGAAAGGATGTTTTCGAAATGCCAGCAGAGGTCTAATGAGTAGGGCGGGCCAGAGGCGAGGTGGGTGGAAATGGTACTAGGTGGAGGATTTCTGTGGATGAGACTGTGGAGTATGTTAAGGGCATGGCCGATGGGCCACCAGATATGTCCGAGCTGACCTGACCTGGCATTGTCGATTTTTCCACGATCAAGCTTGCCAGGTAGTGGAGTGTTTAGAAGATGCTTGAGTATCTTACGCGCACGCGCGCTACTGATATCCACCCGGAGATCGTGGACCATGATGCCTGGTCTTCTGTTGGCATTCTTGACAGCGCAGTTCTCCGTCGTTGTGAAGTGCTTGGCGTCAATGTTATGAAAGAGGAGCCGGTAAGTGTTCTTGAGCTCGTACAGGACGCGGAACTTGGGATTCACTGTGGCGGTTGAATCCATACCATCCCGGAAACTCTTCAAAGACTGAGCGTTGTACCAGAAAAGTAGTGATTGATCAAGTAAGCTGACATCCCAGAACAACGTCAAGGTTCTCGAAGAGGTCGAAAGTCGCAGGTGATCGTCAATACAATCGCTCCAGACAACACGAAGACCACCAAGGCTCATCAGCGTCTGGAGATTGAGATCATGGGCTGCGAAGACCTGATCGTTGGACTGCTCAACATCATCTTGCGAATCTAGAACGTCGAAGAGCACGAGGAAATTGAGTATGAACATCTGGCTCTCTTCTTCGGATATGAGCCTTCGCAAAGGCCAATTTCTCCGTCTTGCTCTATTTATAGCGAATATGGCCTCCAGTGTATAGAGAAGTTCGGCTTGACGCTCAGTTGTACCGGTGCCAGAGACCGAGTCAAAGACTATTCGAATGATATTGTTGCCTTCCCAGTCTTTGAGCAGCCCTTTTTCGTGACAACGCCGATGCAAGTGATTCAAATTGAATTTCTTCCGTACGTCTTCAGACCGTGGCCCATTCACGAAAGGTCCAACAGCGTCGGGGATGTTCCCCTCATGGAAATCCTTTGGCCGATTCGAATAGTCAAGCTCTGTGAAGAACCTCCCTACTTCGATGATCACGGACGTTACGTCGCTGTCCATAAAGCCGATAGCATTATCACACTTGCTAAATGCTAATCGATTGATTATGTCCCTGAGATGGAGTCCGTAAGAGTACTCGAGTTCTGGCCACGACATGCATTGCAACATACTGCTGGTTCTCAATGGAAACAGCGCTTCCATGAGCTCCGACTTCCGCAATACTACCATTTTTTGAAGCCGCGTTCCATGGTTCAATTGATGGTAGGCATTATAAGCATCGACGTCCGAATAATCTGGGGATTCGCCAGCCCACTCCCAAGGGTCGAAATCCACGGCTTCTGGTTTACACCCTAGCTGTTGGTACACATCGTCGGGAAAGAACTTGTCTTTGATTTGTAAGTCAACACACAAATTTGGAGGAATGCCGTCAGGATGCAGGCATACATCGGAAGTCATACTCAGCCTCAAGATATGATACTGAGGGACGGGCATACATTTTGATACTTCGTTGTCGCTTTTGTCTGTATACTTTTCTTGCTCTCATGTTTTCTACTTCGAAAGTGGACTCTGACATTGTTTCATCCGGAGCAGGCTTGCGCTCCTGTTGATGTAGAGTATACCGCTTGCCGTGATTCCTAATACCGCCTCTCTCTTGACTAAAGACTGAGCTGTCAGCTTTCGAGACATTTTGCCCATAATCTATATAGTTCACGTCAATATCATCCTCAGCTTTATTAGGTAGTGACTGGTAGTGTGCCGATCGGGATGGGTATTGAAGGATATCAGTGACCTTGATGGCCACTTCGTGAAAAGCTTTGTGAGATGCTAGAAGGGCGTCAAATTGGTGGCGAGATATATGAGATGGATGATTCGTAGACACAAATGCGTCCTTTCCAGCCATAGCAGTTTGGAGTTAAACAGCTCGTATGTGAAACGCAGGAACGGGGAGGTCTGAAGAACGAAGAACTAGCGAGGCTGAGACACATCTCACACCGCAAGCCAAGTATGCGGCGCAGCTCATGCAAGGCTGGCGGGCGGACGCTGCCGCGAAGTCTTCAACCAAACAATACCCATCCTTAAAAAAAAGTAAAGAGGACGAATTATAAAACCCGGACCGCCCCCAGCCCCAAGGTACGGGGCCCACGAAAAGGTCGCAGACGACCCCAAATCACACATATTTTAAAAATAAAATGCAAACTCATCTATAACCAACGCGAACTCCTCTAGTTGAGGCCACTTAAAATCACTTACCAAATCAACCCCAACAAACAATCAACCCCATATTGGGATTATATATGATGGGAATCAAGATCCATACTTTGGGGTAATAAATCACCAATGATAACTCCTATCTAAGGCATCGTCAGCTGCTTCTCAACACCCACATCACCGGTACAGGACCCTTAGTAGCGTATCGCTTCATGGGAAGACCAAATTACAATATTCACGCAGTTTGATGGCAGAACGTGTAGTGTGGAGCCAGCACGAGGTCTGCACCTAAAGTCCTAGACGCCATGCCGCGTCAAGACCTCGGAGGCTGAAAAACGTTTTATTTGAACAATAATAAGTACGCTTACTTCTGCTTCGAAATTGCGCCTGACCTGAGCCCCAGTCCGAGATCCATTGCCTGTATCAGGCCCGATAGACGTCCACTAAAGTTCAATCTACAAGAAAGGCTTTGCTATCAGCTTCTTAGCTGAACTCCGGACGGCTAGGGTTACGCAAATCGTAACCCTGAGAGCCCAATGGTGGCCAGCCCTAAATCTAACCTAATAAGAATTCCCAACGCCAGCAACTTCTAATTGTGAAATTCGATCTATCAAAAATATTTGGGCATTTGGATTTAGTTTGATCAATTATTCTATAGGACCATAGACCAGTCTGTTTGGCCAGGAGAAGAAGTTCGTCCTGGCTCCCGTCTTTATCAACATTACAGTGCGCTTTCGGGCGAGCTTTGGCGTAACAAGGACCGTCTAGGCGACCAATTGGATTTGGGAAGTCGGACATGGATTAACAAATGAAGCATTGAGTTTCTCCGTGTGAGAACTTCTACCTCACATACTAGGAGCAAAGGTAGCGCGACGAGCCAAGAGTTTGGACGCAGTACGTCTGCCTGGTCGGAGGAGGTATATTATTTATGCATAACTTTCAAGCCAGCTCATCGCATACTATCGAATGGTATATCTCTCACGACCGGACGTCGATCCGATTAAACCGATTGTTACATCATGTGCCCCGAGATTCTGCTTTTGCCATTGTGCCAGAAGATTCGGAAGTCTTTGATGTAGATCTAGAGGGTGATGTCGAAGGTCTTAAGCATGTTTCCTGGTTCTTGTATATATTCCTTTTTCAGCTGACATCGTGTGAATCTGTAAAAGCTCAATTTAAGGCAGTGAATACCACGAGTATTAAAGTTGATCTTTGTAAGGGTTTGACTGTTCGCAAGTGATATCGTATACATCATTGGAGTGAATATATTCCGAGTCAGAAAGGTTAAAAAAGATTACGACATTTGATATCTGTATAAAATGTTAGTGATGCAGACTGCTTCCCAAACATTCATTCTTGCATATTAAGACTTTATAAATATAGCGTTCGAGCGGTGCAGGTGTCATTTTCGGCCGTTGTTTGGGAGAACTTCGGCAGTGAATTGTTCAAGAGCATCACGGAGTGACAAAGATTTGATGCCCGGCTTATCATATGTTGACTCTGCAATGTCTTTCTGCAGATGCCTGCTCACTCCGCACGACAGTCTTACTTTCATCATCTCTCTCTAGCTTTCATGCCAGTATCGACATATTGGGGCTCAATCTTTCAGTCTCCCTTCCCCACTTGGATTTCTTCTGTGTAAACAGTCCAACCAAACCCGGGCCAAAAAAATCAAAGGGTCACTAAAGCCGGTGTTATCCAAACGTTGCACCGGTGGAGTGAAGTCCCGTGCTTAGCTCACATTAACAACACCACCACTTTCACCGACCGCTCTTGTTTCTACTCAAAAAGTCCACTCCCTTCGACTCACAACCAGCACAAAACCACCAGCAAACCACGTCATGCAACGCCAGATGCCCACACCGGGCCCCATCCGAGCCCTCCGCCTTCCAGCAGACGGTTCATCTCCTCACATCCTCACCCTGCAAACCTACATCGCCGATCCTCTCCCGCCCCCACCAACCGCAGACCGTGCCTACTACCGCGCCCTGCTCGAATACCTCGTCGACAACGACCCCGTCCGCCACGTCCCCAATGTCCGCGTCTTCTGGGTCCCCGCCGCCTGGGAGCGGCGCGACGTCGTCAAAGTGCGTTACCTGAACAAATCGTCGCCGAATCTGAACGGCCGATACTGTCTCTTCATGACGGATGCCAAGGAGGGGCTGCAGGTGAATCCATACCTTTCGAATGAGCAATACGACTACCATGGCGATGCATTCGTGCTCAAGGAGATCGGCTACACTTGGTTGCCGGGGGCGGACCTCAGTGATGTGGTGGGCTGTTTGACGGAGTTGAGACATGAGCATGTTTTTCCCGAGTATGAGAATGTGCCCGAGGGTATCCTGGGGTGCAATTTGTTGGAGGTGATCATGAGGGATGGTTTCCGGGACGATTTCAAGCCGGAAGGACCTGCTGAGGGCTTCGTGGGTGGAGTTCCGGTAAACGATTTTCTGCACCCCGTTTGTGGTAAGGGTGTTAACTTCTTTGTAGCATCTCGCCCGCACTTTACCCTCTGAGATGGAGGTTGAGTTGTCTGGGCCCGCAGAGTAAGCTGCTGCTTCTTCGTTTGCAGGGAAGTATACTGATGAGCGCTTTGATAGGCACGGGAGCTGAAGGTGTGAGATTCAAGGAGCATGAGATAGCTTGGGGGAAGCTCCGGCAACTCGGCGTGGGAGCTGTCATCTTGATGATAGCACGAAGGGGGAGTACGTGGAGCATCCTGGCCGGGTTTGATTCTTCGTGGCCATGACTGTCACAGGAATCTCTCTTTAGATTTAGTGGCCGGGTACTTAGCATACCTGATGGTTTAATTTGATCCAACTTCAACAACAATGCGCACATGAATCTTCTTATTGCTAGACCTTATTAGGCTTCGATATGCACTGGATGAACACTACCTCGTTGCACTTTCCATGTGTTATGAGCTCCAAACTCGCCCAAATCTAAGCTTGACACTCCAAGCGCGTGCAAATTGTGCGAGCCTTAGGTAAGATACTAAAGGGACACACTCACGTATCTTCTCAACCCTCAGCAAGAATTGCGGCTGACTTTCATCCATTTGCTATTTGCTCAATGTCTATTTGTATTCCCAGTTTGGCTGAATCGTGGCTCGAATACGATCCCCACCTGGCCTCGTTTAGCTCTCCTGGAGTAAGACAGCGTATAATGAGATCGCGTGTTTCGAGGTATCGTGTAATTGCTCATAAAGTCGTAGACCTAAATATCCAATTTGAAGGAAGACAAGACCGTAGAGACAAGACTGTAGATGCCAACCATGGTAGTTTCGAACCTATTGCCCGTCCGCAGTCGAATAAACATCTTCTCCATATGTCTCATTCAAACTCACAGCCGTAACGATAATCCCCGCCTGCATCCGCACCCACGTATCGACACTCATACCGCCGTACTGATCAAACGACATTCGAATCTGTCGGACACCCCTGTTCCAAACGCCATAGCCGCCGTAGCCCGAGTGCTTGCAAAAGCATAGAATTGGTCTTTCTTGGCTGCTTCCGCCACCGACCCCGTAACCGGGCAAAGTAGTGTTGGGCCAACGTCCACACCAGCTATCTCCGTGATCGTGTCCGGAGTAGATAGAGTGCAGACCAGGCGTGTCAAGGAGCGCTTGCATGAAGGGAATGGCCTCGGAACCGGTATTGGAGTAGCCTTGTTGAGCGAGTGGGACGTCCTCGTTGAGGCCGGGGTAGTTGGGGCCAGATACTTTTGGGTTGGTCTGGGCTTGAAGATCGACGAATGCGAGGGTGGGTATGTGAACGAATGCAAGGGATGGTAGAGTCCCGTATTGGCTCTGGTAAGAGGTCAGTGAGCGAGCAATGGTGTCTACAGTCAAAGTCTAGGTGGTAGGTAGAACGCCTCCGAGGCAGGAATAGAGATTAGGAGGCTCCGAAGAATGGGGGAGGAAGGGGTTGGGGAGGAGCAACGCACCTGCAAGTCAGCTTGGGCAGAACGATACCAAGAGACGGTACCATTGGAGACATAATTATCGATGTTGTCCACATTAGCCGGAAGGCTCTGATACTCTGACCCGCCGCGAGAATCAAAGAACCACAGGAATGCCACAGGTGTCTGACTACTTCCCGTCGAGTTCAGAGGAAACACGGGTAGCACGTAGTTTGTCACACCATCCGTGCCAGCTGGACCGTGCTGGGTGTAAGCACTCGCATATTTCTTCTCTTCCGCATAAAGCGCCTCGCGGCTCAGGTTGTATTTCGAGTCATGATTACCGTACGTGCTGGCCCAACTGTAGTCTCCTTGAACAAGCGGCGCCACTATCTCATCGACATATCCTGTGGAATTGAACGCGAAAGTGTTCTCCCCGGTGATGAGATCGCCGTTCAAGACGACAAAATCTGGCTGCTCTTGAGAAAGAACTTGGCGCATGAGGGCGGCGGAATTCATGTCTGCTGGGATGCCAAAAGTGCTTTCATTTTCACCGTAATGGAGATCTGAGAAAACTGAGATGTGGAAGGAGTAGTCCTCCGCAAGGTTCAATTCGGCCTTGCAGAGGAGTGCAGAGGAGAGAACCAGCAGAGAGAAGAACATGGTGAGCATGGCTAAGAGCGAGAATAGCAAGCAAGACGATGGTAAAGGAAGCCATGGCAGGCATCTTCCTCTTTTCATCTCCACACCAAATGGTGGTGATGCGTTCATGTGACTGCTACCTTCTTGTTCGGATGCCGGTGATCTTGACCTGCATTCCGATTAGACCAATGCAATAGGCGGACCTACACACGCCCTACTTCTTGGCGACCGATTCGCGACTTGTCTCAAACGGTCTTCCATGTGGGCGATTGCAGGGCATATGGGTGAACCTTTTAACGTCATGGACAATGGAGTTATGTTAGCAACCAGGTAAGCAGCAATAGGAGATGGAGATGAAAGAGGTTGAAGCAGACTTGAGCAGAGCGAAGACCTCACGACTTGGAGATGGAGGTCGGCATCAAAAAGTCCGAACGCCAAGACCGATCACGTGATTGCATTAACAAATGCCCTCAAGATATTTTCGGAAAATTCTATTAGATCGCAAGGAGGTCAGTTTGACTCAGAGTATATCTGAAAGACATAGAATAGGTCTTCGAAAGAGAGTCGCCATATTGAACAGTCGAAATCCAGGGACAGTGATTCACGATGAGCCAAACGCATTCCCCATGCAGCCCTAGTAAGATGCCCTGTTGACAGACTATGCAAAATACAGTTCCTCTCTGACCTCATCCTTCTTATCCTCACCACAGGCCCGTCCTCCACTCTAACAACACTTGTATCGCTGTCCCCGGACGTTTCATTCTCGACACCCGCCAGCTCCATTTCTTATACATCCTATTTGGCCATCTTGGCTTGAAATATAGAAAGAATGGCTTTGATGTCCTTGACGCTAGAATGCGGGAGATATATGCGGATGTTGTGTGTGATAGATTTAACCTCCGTATCTATAAGCTCAAAGTACATAGTCTGAGCGTGTGATCGTAGGGAGGAAACCCTACCCGCTTGCCAGCCATATCCTGGGACTGGACAGCGAACTTTATTTTCAAGGAAGTCAGTGACACTCTGCTGTGTTGAACTCGTGCAGCAGTATCGTTGCCCATTAATGATTTGGTTGAGCCGATGCTCCAAGTAATGAGTCCTGAACGAGAAATGCCCCCCCGGTTCTTGCTCAATCATGATCCCGATGTGCAGAGACACAACCCATGCGCCATCATACTTCTCCCAAGGATTTCTTGACGATCAGACGTCAAGAGCATCGTTGACGTCTCGATGAGGTTGCTTCGCCATGTTGATGATGGCAGTAAGGGATGAGTTGATTGCAAAAGGACCTTGGTCGAGATGTATCAGAAGACCCTCTTTTCTGAGCTTTTGCGTGTGTTTGTGGAACTACTCCTTTGAGGGTCCATCAGCCAGCTCCATAAACCGGTCAACAGGTTCGTTCTCCCTTGGCACATCTCCCATGAACTCTTTGAAAGCCTCCTGCTTTGCTGGATCCTTGGGACAAGACGCGGAGGACATATCTGGGGTAGCACTTGGTTGGCCGCGCTCACGCGAGTACATGAGAGGCTTTTAGTTGTCGGCGACAAAACATGTCTCCGCCCTTTGCCGAAGCGCACATCAGATTGACGAGATACACCCACGGCATCTCCACTATGTGACTGGCTACTGAGTCAGCCTTTTATCAGAATAATATCTGCCCCGAACAGCTTTTCGACTTTCTCAACAATGACCTTCTGACCCTCGATTTAGACAGAATGGCACCCAATCTGTGGCTAATGGCCACTCAGTCAGGCTCTCATATCTCTCCATTGTATCATCAGAAGATCAAAGGCCGAAAGATTGTAATCACAGAAGATCCAGGACTGCATCTCGTCTGGAGTGACAATCGAGTCTTCATCAAGCCCTTTCCACCGTATCTACACTCTTATACCTTCTGGGCAAGATACTCGACCGAGCTGAGTTCAACATTCTGCCCGTTCACATCCCGACTTCTCAGGATATTAGAACCGGGAGTATCACCACGTTAGAGGTACGGTGAGCTACGCCTTACCCGTCTGAACCTTTGGTCCAAGATATTCCTTGACGGGTGGAATTACGAGACGGTCCATCGTCAATATTCTTAATACTTCCAGCGCTTCACTGCTTCAATGCTTTTCGCTTCCGGCTTCTTCTCGGTCGTTCTGAGTGCGCTTCAAGTGGAGATGGCCGTTGAAAGCGTTTGGATGTCGCATCAATGGAGACCCTTCCGGATTCTCTTGAGGGTATTCAGCATTATCAGTCTTACCCTGGTTGGTGCCCCTGCTCCGGGCTTTTTGCTATTAATTTCTGGGAATTTTTTTGATGGAATTGGAATACGCTCTCACCCATCGTCAGAGATTATCTTGCGAAAGAGAGACTGTGGCGAAGAGGATGTTGCAAAAAGGCTGGGTACTGACGCGTGATAGGGTATCGTTGCTGCCATGTTATTGACAATTTTGTTGAGATCCCCCCCCCCCAGACCGGATCCCTTGAAAGTCTGGAGAAATTGATCCATCTATCCTATATACCTTCGACATTTTGTTCGAGAAAAGGAAGACTTAAGGAGCAGAAGCCGGGTAAACCTTGGCAATACAGACGCTTCTACAAATGTTGCTACAAGATATAATAGACTGCGCTTACATGTTTTGATGTCTATGCCGCGTAGACCATAGTCAACTACTTGAAGACAATAAATATCCATTTGCAAACATAGTCCTTTGCAGTGAACGCAACGCAAAGAGAATCTTAAACTTCAGTAATGTCTCCGTATCAAGTGACAGCATCATGTCTCGTCTACCATGTAAACATACAAACATACGAGCCAGCCAGCCATGCCGCTTTCAATGCTCCCGCTCCCAAGACCCCTATCAAACTCCCCTCAAGCATCAAACCCCCTTCTCCCCCCGATTGATGCCCTTGACGATCCCCACCGCCGCCGCCGCCGCAAACACTCCCAACCCGACCATCTGCACCGCGCCCAAAACTCCCATCCGCACCTCCCTCCGTCCCTTCCACCCGATAACCGACCCCGTCTTCACCCAGCCGAAGGCGAAAAGACACACCACGACTACAGCAATGCTGCAAAAGAACGCCAGGAACACCTGCTTCCGCTTCACGCAGAGGTAAGGGATGAGGGGGATGAAGCCGCCGACGAAGTAGCCGGAGGCGAGCGTGATGCAGCTGATCCAGGGGGAGGAGGTTGAGGGGGGCGAGAGGTGGTGGTGGTGCTCGAGCAGGTAGGTCGTTCGCTGCGCGAGGGGGAGAGCGCAGAATTCGGTGTGGAGGGCTGCGGTGAGGGCGGGGCTGTGGTAGGGAGACCAGATCCCCTTGACGAGGGCGGTGGTCTCGGCGGGATCGTTGAGGATCATGGTTTCGATCTCGCGGCGCTTGCAGTCGTATTCTAGGCTGCGAAGGGTCAGATGTGTCGCAAGAGGGGCTTTCGAGCTCGTAGATCGGAGAGGGTGCAGAGATGGAGAGGGATGGAGAGGGTGCTTACGAATCGCTCTTCGAGCCCAATAACCCTCCCAGACCCATTGAGATTGCCCCCGCGAACAGCTCCGCCAGTCCACCAGACACAACCACCTTCGCATTCCCGTAATCGGTGAGACCTGCAGCGACGGCGAATGGTACAACAATGCCATCGGAGACTCCGATGACGGCGTCCTTGATATTGCTGGGGCTCGGTCTGAAATTGCGGAAGCGATGGAGTAGCGACATTTGTTGTGTTGGATCGGGGGTTGGGTTTGGTGAAGATGAGGTGGTGGTGGGTGCTTGTGGAGCGAGGGTTTGGGATTCTAGCTCGATGCTGGTGGAAGGTTCCATGGTAGTGGTTGAGTTGGTTGTTGTCTTGGTGCTGTAGGTTGTTGATGATGAGGTCGTCGCTGAGTGTTATTGTTAGAGAAGTCAAAAAGACAAAACTAATTGGTCAAAGACCAAGATAGCTTCTTGAAATTTGTGGGAAGACGTCGCTGGGGAAATATCGGAACGACATCACCGTCGCGGCTGTGCTTTTACATAAATCTTGTCGGGGTAAAACATACAAGGCTTAATGCCGTTACAGTTGAACGCCCGATCATCCTCCTTTTCCGAGCTTTGATGCTCCTGTTGTGGCCACTGATTGCAATGCATGATTCTTGGACAAGCGTAGCAGGTCTTCCAAATTTTGTGTCGGGCGTTGTCACTATGATGGGGATTGAGTGAGATACGGAGCAAAGGATTTGCAAGACACTTCAAGGGATTTCAATATTTGTTGGATAATGGGAGCAGGCCATGACATGGTTTTAGAACAACTCTTTAGGTTCGCGTAAAGGATTGAATGGGAGGGACACAAAGTAGAGATTCAGAAGGGGAAGTGCAAATGCGGGAGCAACAAAGGCGACCAATCAGAGCATTGGTATTAGTCAGGTCATCGGGATGCTGACACCAATGAGCGCAAAGGCAGTTGTTTTATACATGACGGCTATATATTTATGGACAACCTGCGGCTGTAAGCAAGGATAGCTACATAAAAGAAAAGAGAGTGTGAGAGCTCAGGATTTGTGGACGTACCTGCATTTCCCACAATCTTGGGACATATAATTTGGCATCTATATGTATGCTCTTTAAATCGACGCTGTATCGAACGCATCATGTAGAGCTGCAATGTATGGATACTGTCAGGGCCTGTAGCCGACAAGCGATGAACCTGGGGTACTCAATCTGGGGTGCATGCGAAACCTGAGGCTTTATCCACGCTTGGCAGTTGGTACCATCTTCACTCTTTTCGTAGCTTCGCCAGAGCCGCTGCCATGCCTTCACTCAGACCTTCCTTGGCATTGGCGAATGCTTTTGATCGCGGCTCACTCTCATTAGCGTGCGCCTTTCTGCTTGGGCTCATCTCCATTTCCTCTGCGGCCGCCAATAGGAGAGCCTCCTCTTCATCTTCACCAGGCTCCCAAAGTGGGACTTCATCCGCCGGTCTCTTAGGAGGTCGTTGCTGCGCTTTCTCAGCTGTACCAGGTCTTGGCTCGGGTGCATCCTTCATTGGAGGTTTTCCAATCGGTACTGGCGCTGAGTCTCGGCGTTGCTCGTCACCTGCATCTTCGAATAAGCTGTCCTCCCTAACCAGCCCTACAGAGCTCTGATCCCTAGGTAGCCCAGCTGAGGTTTCCTCTCTCACAACTCCAATACCCCTCTTCGCCGCCTTCCTCACCCTAAAGTTCTCCCTCACAGTCCCAACCCACCTCTGCACCTTCTTTTCTCCCCAGCCGGTGATCTCTCCAATCTCCTCTGGCCTCGCGTTAACGGCAGCTCTCACACTTCCAAACGCCGATACCAGACTTAGAGCGTCCGTCTTGTTGATGCTTCTCGGCACGGTGATAAATTCGACGAGTTTCTCTGAGTAGCTCGTAGCTTGATGGGCGCGTATACTCGTCGGCGAAGCATGCTCGTAAGATTTGTATAATTCGAGATATCTCCCAGCCTCCTGTGCCGACCAACACAGTATCAGCGTGAGATTATTGATCAAACTCGTCTTGCTCAACTCCTTCAAGCTCTCTTCATGATTCTGAATGTCCACCATCGTCAACAACACCCTCAAGTTGTATTTTTGCCCAAGTGCTCGTATACGAGAGTAGATATATTCAGGATGCAGGCGGTGGTATTTTAGACTGAGGAAGAGAGCGCATGTTGTGGCGCCGAGGACGTAGTCAGCGGGTATATCACCGTACTCCCAGGGAAGGGAACGGATGTTGTTGAGAATGGGATTGCCCTTCTGACGAGTGGAGACGAGGATGGAAGAGGGCGCGGAGCGGGAGGGCAGGGCTTGAGGTTTGGGTTGTTGAATCTTGGGGGTTGTGGTGGAGGAGTTGGTAGAGGGGCCTGGGCCATGGTTTCTCCGATCGACAGCGTCTACAATGGCAGCGAAGTCGGCATCATCACCGAACTCGTCGTCCATCGCCGGCGTTATTTTGGGAGATAGGGAGGGTTGGATCTCGTAGAAGAGAACTAAGCGCTGGGTAGCGGGGGTGATTTGACTACCTGATCTTGGCGTTCTTGCCTTTCGACTTATCATTTGCAGTCTCCCTCTACAACAGCACTGCAAAAGACGGCAAACACACCCTTACGATCCTACAAACAATTGCCACGCCTCCAAGTTCTATTCTCTTCCAACGTCCCGCTTTTCCTCCGCTCACCATGCCTTCCCTCCCTTCCCTCACCAGCACAGACAAACCCTCCACCAGCGACACCTCCATTGACAAAGAGTCCGTGACCAAGAACGTCTCCTCAGCGATGGACGATGCGAATGAAAAGAGCGGAAGCTCTGCTGCAGCGGAGACTAAGGCTGGTGTTACGCAAACTGCGTCAGAGGTAGAGAAGGCGGCGAACAAGCTGTACGAGGAGAATATTGAGGATGAATACGCTAAGAGGGAAGGTGGAGCTTGAGGGAAAGACACGGAGCACTATATGTGGGTAGGAACAGCGTTTGTGGGCTAGTGAGAAGGAAAGGCGAGGGCACGCTGGGGAGCTGGTTGAGAAGGATGAAGACGATACCCTGCTCAATCATAGACGCCATGGATAGCAGTCACCACTGTTAGCTCAAACGACTACATAAACAAAACAAAGAAATCGCCATCGTCAAATCGAGTCAACACACGCTCGCGGTTGCTTGTTCATCATTGTCATGAGCAATAGTAGTATATGTACTACCAGCTGAGCTGCGATATATTCCCACTTCAATCTTGCCTAGCCTCTTATCCTGCTATCATTCAGTGTTTCAACTCTCCCTTGCCCTTCATCTCCCTTGCAACATCAATCGTATGCTGTACCGTCTTCCTCGCCTGTTCCCACAGCTGGTCTGACGTCTTCTTCGCTTCTTCACTCCCTTCTTCAATCTTCGGGTACGGCCATTCAAAGTAAAATGTCAGGTAGAGGTCTGTCTCATCCTTGCCCTGGGAGATGGTATTGTTGATGAAGGCGCCCGTGTCAAGATTGCGAAAATCAACCTACCGGAACCGGAGGCGGTCAGTTTGGGTGGATAGCACGAAGCTCGTACAGGCGGGCAGCTTCGGCTCACAAGCGTACCTTCCAAGGTGCACGAATGTCCATGTCCTCGACAACTTTCCCACCCGGTGGGCCCATGCCTTCTCTGAACGTCACCGTCCTCTTCATGAACTTATCCGTCTCTTCGAGTACCTCGCAGGCAGATATGGGAGCAACGAAAAGCTCGGGCTTGCGGCATTTGACTTGCATCACTTCCCAGAATTCGGCAAGTGTGAGAACGGGGGAGGCATTGGGTGGATTGATAGGGTAGGTTTGGGATTGGTAGAGAACAACCATTGTTGCGGCTGCTGTTGAATATGAGTTGGACGTGGCAGATGATGATAAAGGATTTGAAATATTTTGGAGTCCACAATCTTGTACGCAAAGACAGCGTGGTCAATTGGAGTTGATAGGTCTGAGAGACCCAGATATTATATCGCGATTCTTGTGAAGCTATTAGTCTTTTCTCAAAGCAAACCTCGGCCGTGCCTGGATTGCTCCTCTTCGCTTATGCGATCAGAAGATTGAAATTCCTGCCGGCGAAGTAGACGCCCCAAGTAGGGCCTAAGTAGTACGTTGATGATCACATTGATCATCTCTTGGTGTCTGTCATTGCCCTTGATTGTATTGCTGCCGAGAGGCGTAACGTAACTAGCTCACTAGCCATACTGACCTCGTAATTATACCTCGCTCTCTGGCGGTTTGGCTCTTGAAGTCTTATCTTCGTAAGACTCAAGAATGCGAGGAAGTCAATTGAGCTCTTGGCGTGGGGGAGAAAGATGACGCTAAATCTAGAAAGGTTAAACTCTTTCTCATAGGGCAGAATACCTATGTTTTGGACGTCATTGCCTTCTCAAATCCGATGACAATCCGGGCTTCGCTTCTTTATATCTAAAGTAGAATAAATACTTTTCCTAGTGGTATGTGTATGGTATCACTGATCCATGAAGCCTTGAATGAGCCATACACTCCCTACATCATGATTACCAGGAAACGCATGTCAATGAGATCTAATGTCTTTTCCACAGCTTCTTCCACTAGTAATAACATTCCCCTGCGAAATGCCCAAAAACATTTGTTTTCTACCTCAAGACCGTCATTGGCTTACACGGACACCGTGTCAAATCTGAAAATTGGACAACATACACGTGTGATCTTTCAGGGGTATACTGGAAGGCAGGTAAGTCTCATCCCTGATTCATCCCAGAATGTCTTCTAAAACGGACCATAAGGCTACCCAAAATGCGAAGCAATCAATTGAGTATGGGACCAAGGTTGTCGGTGGCGTCACACCGGGTAAAACTGGCGAACATCTTGAACTTCCCCTGCTGCCGTCTGTACGAGCAGTGAGTGAGACCTTCTCCGCCCCTTCTTTTCCTCGCGGCAGGAAAGAAAGATCTGATTGTGCCTCAGGCCAAAGACCAGTTAAGGCCGGACGCAACGGCCATCTATGTGGCTGCTCAGCAGGCTGCTGCAGCCATTGAGGAGGCAATCGAAGCAGAGATCCCGCTTATTGTTGCTGTTGCTGAACACATACCCTTGCACGACATGCTTAGAGTACGACTTTAATCCTCCTTTAAAACTTCTTGGAGCTGAAATATCCCAGGTTCAATCGATGTTGAGGTCACAATCGAAATCACGCCTTGTCGGCGCAAATTCACCTGGCATGATTTCTGCGGTTGGGAAATGCAGACTTGGCTTTCATCCTCTACCAACCTTCACACCAGGGAGCATTGGTATAGTGGCCAAATCTGGCACTCTAAGCTATGAGACTGTTGCATCTACTACGCGAGCTGGCCTTGGTCAGAGTCTTGTCATTGGGATGGGTGGAGACCCTCTTCCTGGGACTGACTTTGTTGATGCGTTGAAGGTTTTTGAACATGATGTTGATACGAAAGGCATCATTCTCGTAGGAGAGATAGGAGGAAAGGCCGAAGAAGATGCGGCAGAGTGGATCAAGGAGTACCGGAAGCGCACGGAGAGACCCAAGTGAGTCTGTCTCTCGTTTTTAAGCACTGAATTACTGACGCAACAAAGGCCGATCATGGCACTCATTGCAGGGGTTCAAGCTCCTTCTGGCAGAGTCATGGGCCATGCTGGGGCTTTTGTTGGCGCCGGTGAGATGACAGCAGCTGGTAAAGTGCGAGTGCTTGAAGATGCTGGAGTTGTGACTACGAACCATCCGTCAAAGTTTGGTGAAGGAATGAAGCGACTTCTGGGTAGTGAAGCTCACTGGATACCTTCTGTAAGTGACATTCGGAATCGAAGACTAAAATTCTGGAGCTGACCCGGGTAGTCACCATCATCATTGGACAAAACCCAGCAACGAAATATGCACACTCTTCGAAGACCTGCGATACAGTCTACAGGGAATCCCGCTTTTGTCCGGCGGCGAAACATTCACATCCCAGAATCCCGAAGCTTTGAAATGCTCGAAGACCTCGGGGTACCAATCTCAAAGTCCGAGGATCCTGAGAGTAGGGATTATTTTCTAACCCTAGCAGTGGACAGAATAAACTATACCCCATGTATCGTTACTTCATTCTCCATTGGAGGCGAAAGCCCTCAGCTTCACGCGAAAAGTTACCCAATGGCCCTGGACAAGGTTGAGGATGAATCCACGTTGTCCTTAATAGCTTCGGATCTTAAATGCAAAGAAGAATCGTTCGACTCATTGTCGCTCTTGTTGTCCTCTCTCATCGACATATTTTTCGGCAAGGAAGCAACCTCTTTGTCTACAAGGATATCGCGTAATCAGCAAGGAGAGCTCGCTGTGGCACGAGCAGAATTTAGCTTTGACGATGCCGCAATTAGAAGCGGTAAAAGAAACGTCGATCTCCAAGGAATGCGAGATACTAGTAACGAGGTACCGGAAGAGGTAGAGGCTGAGAAAGACGGCATCGTTTACATCAAGTAAGATTGTCTCGCCTCAGAGCTACGGTAAATATGTTGAGCATCGACTGTCTAGACTCAAGGGTGATGGCGTCATTGGTACTTTAGGTAAGCCATGCTGAATCACTGCTGAATCAAGATTTGACCACACCTCACAGCCAACGGTGCCGGTCTCGCCATGAACACCGTCGACGCCATAGCTGATCTGGGAGGCAAATGCGCTAATTTCCTCGACACTGGCGGCAAAGCGACGAGTGAGACCGTCAAGAGCTCTTTCAGAATCATCTTGAAAGATTCAAGAGTAAAGACCATCTTTGTCAACATCTTCGGCGGACTTACTCTCTGCGACATGATTGCCGATGGCATCATGCTCGCTTACAAGGATCTTGGAATCAAAGTGCCAGTGGTTGTCCGTCTGAGAGGGACGAACGAGGAAATTGGGCAGAAAATGGTAAGCAAGCCTGAGCCACGAGTGATGAAGCATACTGAAATTCCTCAGATTACGGAGAGCGGGCTTTCCTTACATGCATTTGATGACTTCGATGAGGCTGCTAAGAAGGTCATTCAACTGGCTAGACAAGGTGACTGAGGTGCTATGTAGCCGTTTGACCTTACAGTGGCCTACTCAAATTCTGTCCATTTTTTCAAGCTACTAAAACCAAGCTATATCTTTGTTATCAATGGCTACATATAGTTCGTTTCCTCTCGAAGCTTCGACTCTTGGCCGGCAGAAAGCTGAGACCGACGTTCAGTGTGCGGGTTACCCTCCTTCAAACTCGAGTCTTTTCTATATATATACTTGAACATCTACTCATGGATTTACATCTATGTTGGTGAGAAAAGTAGCCTGTCTAAGAGCATATACCAATAGCCTGGGGCGTACGAGTTCATTCTCAACGACATCCTCGGTATCAAAGGAGACGTTCTTTCACCCTTTGGAGTGCTGTGCGGAATGAGGTGCAGCGTTGGGTGGCTAAAGTGAGGTGTTGGCTGCCAGTACTTTGGGGAACGCCGCAGGACCGAACAATTCCTACACACCAGTAGGACCTTTTGCGAGACAAATGCAGCATTGCATGAGAACACTAAAGAAAATTCAGCAAGTGTTCACAACTGCTCGACTGTCAACAATGATGTGCGGAGATAGAAGTGGCTTTTGAACCGATACACTTCTTTAACGACTGCATGACGACTAACCATCATTCGTAGATCTCATCTCTTCGCGTAAGTCTTTCACCTTGCTGACCCCTTTTTGCGGTTGAGAACCCCACTGACCTCACTACAGAGAGAGCGCTCACGCAACTGTTGCCGCCGTTCCAGGGTTTGGTGCCCCCTACCCCGCTGCCATTAAGGAGAGCAGCCGCTCAGATCGCGCTGGAACACCGGTCTCAGACCCCCGAACTAGACCTGGGCACACTGCAGGGCGTGCCAGGCGTTCAAGCGCGGGCAAAGAAGATACACGGGCAGAGGGAGGAGTGAAGAGGGAGTGGGGAAGGAGCCTGTGAGGTGGGGTGCTTTGTGGGGTGATACAACGACTATATTGACTTTTGAATAGGGGGGTTTTCTTCTTATTTTTTGAATTTATCTCTACTTTCTTAGGATTTTAATCGAAATGCGGAGAACCCGAGTTGTACCTCATGGAAGGTGGCATTAATTTTGCTCCCATCTTTACCACCATTCATCTAATTGGTTGAACGCTTGGACATAAATTTTTTGAGACCAGAAATCCAACAAAGAAACAGTGCACTGTCCTACGGGTATCTTATGTGAGGCTTTGGTTCGAGTCTATATTCGGAAACATTTCCTCTATTGTCATGGAGACTGTGGAATTAAGTTACCCTCCAAGATTTCTTACCTCCTCAAATACTATGTGATTAGCCCTTGGAGCAAGGGACCGAAGATGAGATCAATGACTCTGCCGAAGAAGAAGAGGTTTGTGCCTTTCTCAAGCTAGAATTTCCTGGACTCGCTTCTTCAGCATGCATAAGGGCGCTTCTCTTTTGAAATGGGGGTAGCCCTATCGTCTTTCTTGTACACACCTACCACCCCTTAACTGTCATGGGCTCTACTGGTGCGGTTTAGAGATCTGCCCACCGGGTATGGGGTATGGAGGAAATGAAACCTGAGCCAGTCATGAAGCTCATCTGAACTAATCAGGTGCGTCCGCATGATGTATAGACGGTGAACCTCTTTGGCTAACCCAGCCAAGGTGTTTCCGCCTACGACAGAACGTCTAGAAATGCTGAGGCGCTACTTGGGTTCTGATACATACATTTATTGCATATTGTGAGCGTCTTTGACAACGCCACGCTCATGGAACTGTTTGCACATCAGTACCGACTGCAAGAATTGGAAGGGTGTGGGGATTTTGCAACCAGGTTGGCTCGGCGACAGCCACATTGCTCGATGGAACTCAGCAAGAGGAGATTTGGGCTGTGGTATCTCATGAAGTAAGTAGTTTCTAACACAGTCGAAACTGGACTCTACTGACAATGTAGGAAATTGACTCCAAGGAGGGCCACACAAGCAGCGAATGGATTTCCAAACTAAGTGAAGGGGTCCGCTGTCTCAGCAGCGAATGGATACGAAGATTAGGTGGGTCGCGCGGAGACCTGCATTAGCGCCATTTCTCACATTATTCTTCACCTCCCTTCTTCCTCTTTCTTTCCTTCAATACTTACCATCCTTCTTTCCTTCCACCCACACATCCACAACGATCTTTCTTTGCTTTCATTGCTCTCAAACACTCATTAAGTATTCCATTCGATACCCTGCTTCATTGCTTCACGCGTCCGAGCGAAACCCGTTCCTCAAGCCTGTCCCTTTCGCCTCATCGTACCCTGCACCAAGAAAGCGAGTGTACCGCTCGCTTTTTCTTGTCATTCTCTTGATCTAGATTCTTAATAGATCTCTTATATTTAACTATTAGCGTTAACTAATCTAATTCTATTTTTATGAGATGCCCTCACCATGGCGATTGCAATGAAAGTCAAAGACCGCAGCCTCGAAAGACTCAATCTCGTCTTTGCTTTTGATCTTGGTACACATCGATTTCCTTGGTTGCCGCATTGATACTTGGGAAGGTACCAGGACGGCTAACATGGCCAGTCTAGAAAACCTTGACCCAACGCTACTCGTCTGGCTCCTCGGCTTAGGGTATTCGTTCGTTTCCTGTACCATTGGGCCACGCTTCCTTGCGTCAAAGATGCGACGCATTGTTGCAGAAGTCTATCATTCTGAACCCGCCTTCCGTTTCATTTCGCATCGAAGCTCACGACCATCCTCAAGCTCAAGCTGAAGACCCAAGATCCAAACAAGATAAAGTACATCATCCTGGGGAGAAGTTATGTCAAGCTGTGATTCGAGTCGATATTCGGTAAGGTATCTTTCGATCGCAATTGACGGCAACATTCGTAGTTTCCACCAGATGATCATCCACCTTGGTCGCCGACCGAGCTGACCGCCGCATTCCTCCATTGCGCCCACCATCGGCCCCGAATTCAACGCCACCTATACGCTATTCCTACTGCTACAGACTACCTGAATTGAAATTTCTCAAGACTGAGTTCTAGGTGACTATCGTTAGTCTGCGCATCACCTGCTCGTGCAAGGTTCTTCTTAACAATGCGTTGGACTGCTTCATGCTGTGGGCTCCACCCAGAGATCATTCCGGTACCGCGAACATATCAGTTTCCCTACTTTTGTCATTTCTGGAGGCTTCTCAATGGATGAGTGGACACTCTTTTAAAATAATCTAACAGATGCCTATTGTCATCAAGCTGGATTGAGCTCGTCTAAGCAATATTTCCGAGTTTTCTGTTCATTAATTCTACAACTTTCTGCAGGTACCTGCCTCGCGCTGCCACGAGAACGCGTTCGACGAATAAAACCGCTCACCTTGTTGTCCTGAGAATGGTCGAAGATCTCATTGCGGATGAGTTTCTCTGTTCGAAAACGTCTTGTTTATCAGACTACAACCTCCGATGTCATCCAGTCCCCGGATAGTGGGGACGGCGGTTGGACCGTAGGCAAGCCGAGAAGATACCGAATGTTCTCATCACGAAAGGGTCTCGATTAGCATAGTTCAGGCCCTAGATTACGCGTTGGAGCGCATCCAAAGATTGTGGCCTTTCTCGTTGCTTCAACTCCCATCAATCGATGAACACGCTGCGATCACGGAATAAAAACCTCAGCATGAAAGGTAGTGTTGCCAACTGAGATTTGTGTATATATCACCGATGACCTGACTATAGGAATTCTCGTGCTGGCAGTCACTACAACACTAACTCTTCACAATTACATGCACAGAGACTAGCTCCTCGATTCTACATCCTCGGTCTTCATACTGACACTCTTCCCCTCTCCACACGTCTTCAACCCTCTTGACAATGTTCTCAATTTCAAAAGCTCTCTTGGTCACCAAACCTCTCTTTCGTTGCCAGTGCTAGTTTTCAATCATTGCAGCTTCACCCACAAGCACAGAAAGGCGCAGCCTTTCGTAAGCTGAGGATTTACAACTATGCGCTGCTCAGGCTAACGAAGCTGTAATTGAGCCGCCACAATGGCGACGATCTTCCTGGCGCGTGCAAGTCATCATGCTCAACACAGGGATGCTAACGAATGCAGTGGTCGATCCTGGACATGAGAAACGTTACCGATGCTCACGTCATTGCGGCCCAGAAGTATTCAGCTCACGTTCGACAGTGTCATTAAGGTGTTCGTTCGCTCAGCTGCCTGATGATGATAGGCCAAGCGATGAGTACATCCACCTGCTCGTACATTTTGACACGACTTACGATATCAACACGTACAAAGAGAGACCGATGACGGATCTGACTCTGATGGCTTTTAGTCTGATATCTGTTGTCGTTGAAGATTTGCACATCTGAGTCGTGACTCATACTTTGCGCAAATTACATCAAATGCCGCAAGATAGCCAAGGGAGAAGAGAAGAGAAAGGGTACTGAGGCTGGTACTGGTGCTGGTGCTTCAACTGAGAAGAAAGCGTAAGTATTACTTTCAATCCCGCTTACTCCCACTGACGTTTCTAGATCTTCCTAAGTGTTGATGAGACCATCTCTTCCTGCATTCTCCTCTCTTCCAAGCCCGCACCAATTGAAGTATTTCGGAGCTACCATAAAGTATGATGGAGTGTCGGGATCACACTGTACCCTGCTTTCCTCCAAGGGGATCCTAAATTTTGATTATTGCAGCTTCACCCTCAGACATAGATAAAGTACCCTTCATCATTCCGTTGTCTCCTTTTTTTTACCTGGACTTTCCTTTTCAGCTTGTTCTCGGACTTTTGTTCCCAGACATTCAAACAACGATCTCTACAATTATTATATCACGTTTTTCTTTCCTCTCTAGCTTAGCTACCGGGCGGACAAAATATAGATATACTCAAGTCGAGTTCAAAGCAAAAGAAAGAGCTTGATCCCAATAACTGGTTACACTTCGAGTGCAAACAGCAAAGAAGATGCCATCTAATGGCATTCCAATTTTCTTAACAGTTGTGTTCAGGTTCATTGCTTCCGCAGACATGCTGGTCGTCTGAAATCTGGGAAGTAGGTCAATGGCTACCGTCCTCACAACTCTTATGCTCTCAGACATTCTCTCAAACTATCCTGGATAATTTCTTTTCGTCCGCCAACTACTTTGGTCGTCTTATGTTTATGCTTGTGAGAGACAGAAGAAGATCAATAGGAAGCTGCAGTGGCTCCCGTGACCCTCGAGCAACTAACACAGGCGCGAGATCTGTTTCTGCAGCCACGCGGATACCTGGACATGATCGAAAATATCATATCTCGCGCGGATCAAGACGGCTACTACTTCAGAACTTGAAACTCGCTTGCTCCAGTGGGAATTGCGGCCACATTGTGCTCGTATCAGCGCTCTAGTAAGTCATCTCTAGACCGAGTCGCCCTTCACGACTTGAACGTCATCAAAGCTTCTGACGCCAACGAAGAGAGACTCACTGCAGCCAATCACAAAGGTCCGAGGCAATGAGAGCTTCGGATATTTCTACCCCGTTCCGAGGTGACTAGATTGTCATTCAATTTTACATGGGCGAAATGGTCTAGACGAAAGCAATCGGGCAAAGGCGGCTACATCTTCATATCGGTGCCTGTGCAACATACAGGGACATCCAAAATGACCTGTTCAACAAACCTCCTGCAAAGGATGTCTCCGGAGAAGCAAGATATGAAGGGCAAAGGCAACGTAGATAAAGATCAGATGAAGCTAGACTTAGCAACCACACGCCACCAAGAGTTCGTCGCGCACGCTCACTCTGTGGCTCAGGTCGACGATGATATTGCTCAAGAAGCTATTTCTTCAATAGCACAAGCTTTAAAAGAAGCAGTGGAGCACCCGCAACGGATACCGTCGCTGGCCGCGCAATCAATCCCTGGTTATGATGGGAGTGTATCCGTCTAAGCCAATACAGAGGACTGAACTATTACAGCAGTGAGTTCGTCGAGCTATCTGAGAAAGGTTAACGTAAATCCAGAGCCTTCATGGAAGCTCAGCAAAATGGACTTGAGTCACCGTTTGCTACCCACGCGAAGTCCTTATTCTACCTGAGCCCCCAACTGAAGATAACTACTTTTCACTATCATAACATCAGGTGGGTAGTCATTGTTATTATGTTGTTCTATCTACTGAAGGAAAGTGCTAAAGGGTTGATTCGCTAAGCAAATTGCCGATGCAAATGACGTGATCTACAACAGCGAGGTCAGTGGGAGCATTGTGGCACAGGGAACTGGAGGTCTCAACGTTCCATACTTCTACACTCCGCTAAGAGACGAGGGAAATTCTCGATAACGTTGGAAGTTGCGTACTCGAAGCAGACTAGAGGGACGACTGATCTTGGAAACGACTCAGAGATCATTTATGAGATCTTCAGATACATTGACAAGCTTGGAAAAATGAGGGATGATTAGCTTGAGATGATGTCGAGGCACATTCATCTTGCTCAGAAGGCCTCTTCTTGGAGCCTTTCTCAAGTTCAATCTCTAAGAGGATTCACCTTCCCCAGAAGGCTCCTTTTTGGAACCTTCTCTCAACTACGACTCCTCACCGCAATAAGCAAGAACTTACTCACAGCCTTCCCTCAACATCCACAATCCTTCCCTTTATAATTTTCTGTCAACCAATTCTACATCACCGTGGGCCTCGTGGAGGTCTCTTGAAGGTGCTCAAGCAAGATTGCAGGATGTGTGTCATATCCGTTTGTCATGATTCTCATACCGTTACATCATTGGTATTATATTGTCCTTGAAGCTGTCGGAAAAGACAACATTGCCTCTTCCACCGTTCTGAAACAACACTATGTATCTCTCTGCCCCTTTTCACTATCGTTCGAATCACCTGAACACTCGATCGTGACCCAATTCGGGGAGTCACCCCATCCATGCTACATCACTCGTATTCCTCTGCCAAATGAGGCTCTTGTGCATAGATGCGCCCTTTTCTTCGAGACCGAGGTCGCAGCTGTTATCCACCTTCTTCCGTCGTGGTAGAGTCACTTCAGGATTCACTCACGCTGTCTTAGACCGATGACGAGCTTACTGGATCTAACTTTGAGCGCCGAAAGATCGAGAAAGACTCGTCCTTGCCAAAATCAAGAAACTGGAGGGAGTGAGAGACCGAACGGATAACAAACACCCTGGCAGTCACTCCGTCAAGGCCGAACAAAGTGCAGCCGTGCTATGTGAATTCGAATGTTGTCACCGAGTCCATGACTCCCTCAGAATGAGGCAGGATTTCATTGATCTGACCCGCTCATCACCAAGATCCAAACATCTGAACACGCCATACAAATGGATTGGTCCTGGAATATGATGGCTGCATTGTGTAACCTTCCCTTTGTCAACAAGACATACTTTCAGTGAAAACCCTCTTGTCAATTTGTCCAGACAGGAAGCAACGTCTTCCTCTTGTCATCGTCGGCCACGGAGGAATGGTGTCCACACTACTCGATGTCATTGCTTGTGAGGAGAGCCCCGTCCATTCATTGCTCCTACCGAAATACCCGGCCAAGAAAGTCAGAGCACTTTACCGCAGAAAAACACGCTATTACCAGTTGGCGTTCTTTATTATATTTCTCACTACAGCCAATCAAGTATGAAGACAGATTAAAGGAAACTTCTTCCCTCGTGGAGAGACTAAAAAACGGGTAGAAAACGAGCTCACTACTTCCAATGGCAGACCTGATTTGTCGGAAGCGACCCTAACCCTAACCCTAACGACTCCATCCACTTCTACCTCAACCCTTACCACTCTACCTCAGCCCTCACCACCTTGCTAGCAGTGCTCTACCATCTTTCATTCTTGCTTTGTCCTCATCCTAGTTGCTAGCAGTCTCATTCTTTTATTATAGCTCAACTCACGCCTATCAACTTTGACCCTGAGGTTAACGAAGTATACTTCAACTTGCAGTTGACCGGAGAGGAGGATAGGCTTGATATTTTCGCTGTATTCGAACTTTATGCAGACGATCCTGTCCTTAATTATCGTGCGCTCCGCTCGCACTTCAGAAAATATTTTATGTCTTACTTCTTCGAGCGTAGCGATACAAGCAATATTAGAACTTGAGGCCCTAAGATTTCAACATATGATCGAACTACTATTGTCTATCGTTCCGCAAGACTTCAAACTGCCAAATGGTGGAAGCTTCCTGAGGGCCTCGACATTAGAGATGATCATTCGCTTCACAAAGCCGGGTGCTGGACGATAATGCGATACTTCGGTACCTCACCAGGGTGTGGAAAGTTGACTGACACCGTACGTGGCTGTCAATTACGGCACCACAAACCTTACAAATGGTCTCGTGGCCGTGTTTTGGTTGGTGATGACGGGAATGCTCGGTGGGAGCAGGTGAAGATGGCTGGGGGGGTTTGGTGGTGGAGGTGGCGAAGAGTCAAGTGGCGCGTCGCAAGAGTTAGGAAAAAATTCTCCTTGCCGGCGAAAACGTCATCTCTAAAACCCGTTGGTTGATACAACGTCGAGTGGTCGCTGGCATGAATTAGCTTGAATGCTGAGAATCAAGAGTAAGTGGCAGGTCCAAGGACAGAATGACCTCACTTCTGACATCAACCACTCATGCGTTGAAGTCCAAGCATGCTGCGGCCGACAGTGCTACCAAGGATTGCCCAGTCTTGCGTCAGCATGGCGGAAACCTCTCGGGTGTCGGAACTTCCCTCAAACAGATATCTGCAAACTCCATCCCAGAAGCTATCGATTAAAATGGGACCCGCAGAAGCTGTCGAGATCAAGACGAAAGACACCGAATTCGATCGGAATGACACGATCTCCTGGATTTGAATTTCAAGATTGCCATCAACGGTGAAACCATTGTCTACAATAGTTGGCAACAAGATCACCGCTATGTCGTCTCGTCAACATCATCGAGTCACTGCTCGCAATCCGTCAATTCAGAAATCAACACGCCCGCGGCTTCCAACAGTACCGTTAGAAAATCCTATTTTTATGGATTTTCAGCGACAACCAACACACATGCATGCGGTGGAATTTAGTTCTTCAAGACCTAGGCAAGAGGACTGAGAAGGGCTCGAAGATTCTTACGACAGCAGGCAAGAAGGCCACGTCTCCAGGATCTCTGAAGAAGAACCCTGGCAAATCTTCTCCACTCAAGGCCTGCAGGGACAGGATGTTTGGAGAAACAGGCAAGCAAAGGCGGCACCCGGCACCAGCCATGGGGCCATGCTCTTGAGAGGGGGGTAGTGTTACGAACGTACCCTTGACACACCACCAGCCCTATGGCCTAGTGCCTACGGAGGCATCTCTACTATATCATGCCTCCTTCCCACCTATATAGTTCGATAGCCTTATTATCCCATCTACCTCACCCATACTGGTACACACCTATGCTGGTCCTGACATTATAATAAGGCAATTCCACTCCGTCTACTGGTTTTTCGAGAAAAGATATAAATACGGTCTCTCTCGACTGCAACTTGAATTTAACATAGTCCAAGTTTGACAGCCATCGCTGGAAAGGAGGAGCACTACTGGATGATTCCGTCTTGTCACCAAGGATCACTTTGCTTGACCTAAGACCACCAAATTGGTATTTGATGCGGACAGTAAGAGAAGCACAACCAACTTCTCACTCAAGATCGGACCATTCACCACCTCCACCGCGAAGTATGTCCTGAAGACGACAATACCATCCAGCTGGATTGTTCTGCCCAACCGATGTCAAGGCTCATTTCAAGTCAGACTGCCTAGGATATATCATTGATCGAAAGACCGGAGAATCGCAGAGTTGGAAGCAAAAACCGCGGTGGTTGCATCTTCCACCCGACCCACGAGGGAGACCAGGAACCGACTCTACTGTAAGAAACCCGAATCCAGTAAGGTCAAGAGCTGGGAGGACTGGAGCGGAGAACAAGAGGAGGAGGAAGCCAACGTTCGCAGACTTTGAACTATCAGAAGACGAAAGGAGTGCTGCCTTGAAGGAGGAAAAGACAGGGTCTGTTCTTTCGGACCTACATCAAAGTGATGAGCGCGAGAAAATTGGGGAGGGTCGAGTTGTCAAGCTGAAGAAAGAGAGAGCTATCCAAGCAGACCATGCGGAACTGCGTCGCAGCCGTTGAGTACTGCAAGCAAAGGGGTTCTCTACTTCCCCACCTTTGGTCTGTCCTTCGTCCCGGTAGGATGGGAAGGAACGTGGCGCTTTCTGTTGTTGAACTATACCTGAAGGTAAATGTGACACAATGGACAGATTTTGAAGGGATTTCTCTCTGTTGCCTTCACCAGGAAGCCATCTGCTGCAATACGCTGGTCTTATTAGATGTTCGAGGCCAAAATGCAACGGTAACATCCACTTCCGTTCCGTTCGAGATGGACAAAACTCTGGCTCAATATCATCGAGACGACCTCTGACGTGTTCGCCAAGTGTGACACGATCGCTGGGCAGTGGCGTAAGTCCGCTTACCGTCGAGAAGATCGAGGAACGATGGTAAACATCTAGCAATGACGCTTTGGGCCACGCAAAACTTCTCAGCTCCCCCATATCTCTATGCTAATGGAACTCCTCCACCTATCGACCTGGGCCATCTCAATCCTCGCGAAATCTGCGATCGCATCGTTGAGGTGCATATGGCTATGGCCTCAGGTGCCGTTGGTCGCTTCCCCGTCCCCTCTGTCAAATTCGAAGCCGGCGCGGCACCCAAAAGGATAGCAAATGACATCGCGAAGGAAGTTGCACAGAAGAAAACCAAGGAAATGAAAGCCGAAGCACGCAAGCGCAAGCGTGGTGGTGGAAGGACTGACGAGTATGTCACATATTCGTGTACTGTGACTCGACTTGCGACTGGCAGAGAAGCAGCAACGATCTCGCTACATTAGAGAAGTCTTACTTAACTGAAAAGTTGACGCTTGACAGCCATCCGTCAACTCCTTGGCGCGCAGGATTTCTGACATCAAACAAATATACACGACATGGTTCAAAGTCCAGAATCATATCATGGGGAAGCCATTGAAACAATCTCAATCATGACGATACGCGATGCCGGTTCTGAAGGAGTTACACCATGGGCCTCGTGGGCGATACGACATTAGTAAAAGAGAGCAACTGGTGCAAATCAAGAAGCAAGAGACAAGCTTAAGAGCAAGGCTGGTAGACTCGAGCGGAAGCAGTTCGCGGATTCCATTCGACAAGAGATCACTGATGAAATCACCACTCGTCTCGAAGCGGGACATGAGGATCGGGTAGCAAAGGGAGTAAAGGCCAAGATTGACGCATTCAGCTCCATCATTTGATAGACTCTTTCGCTATGGTTACGACTTCCGCATCTTCACATTTCGCATCAGATACGTCGATCAAGCAACGGCCTTTGCCATCTCTTCCGCCCAGTAGCACTCTGCCCTCCGCCCTCTCCGCCAACGATCGTAGGTGAACGACGCCGCAATCCACGTCAACGTTCGCCCGAACCACCACTGTACAGCCTAGACGTACGACCGCAGTTCCGATACCCGCCACGATGGGGGTCGCGCGATTCGAATGCCCGCCTAATTCGACGTATGCGCTTTGGAGAAGGGGAGGGAAGTTGGGGTGTTGGAAGCGTAGGAGGAGGGTTGGTCGGTGCAGAGGTCGGTGCGATGAGGGATATCGGAGCTGGTGAGGGAGTGGTGGAGTGCCGCGGAATAGCGGACTCTAACTCCAACATCGCTGGAGCGATGAGCGGTGGGAGCTCGGCTGGAGCCGGAGTCGATGATGGAATGGAGGCAAGCGAAGGTGATGGCGGTGCGTGTTGAGGTTGGGGTGAAAAAAAAGTTCGGCAGTCATTCTGACTCCCGAGACACGCAGAACTTTTACACATATCATCGATTCAATCAATCAATTCTGTCGACTAAATCAATCCAAGTTCTTTTGAAGGGCATTGTCAGCATCATTTGCATTAGGTCTGATGACCCATTTTAAGAGGAAAGTGCGAGAGCTAAGAGGGATTGCGAGATAGGAAAGTAGGCTGGTATAGCACATCTGGCTGTTAGGTGGGATGATGTCACAGGAAGACTTTGTGTGCACCGCGGTGCTCGTGAGATGGCGGCGTTATCGAGTGGGAAGATTGGGGGCTTTGGAATAGGTGGGGGCATGGATGATAGAAAGTGATGGCAAATGGGAGGGGGTTGTCGAGTGGGGAGGTGGGTCGTACGTATGTGTTGTCAGAAAGGCCATTTGTAGGAGATGATGGTTTGCTGAATGCTAGAGTAATACTTCTTTTAGCTTAAAGGTTGACAGGTAGCCGTACGCTTCAAATTCCTTTGTGTTTTTTGATGAAAAGTATTCTTTGCCTTCAAATCTTCGCTGTTCTCCCAGTTTCGCAAGTAAGTGAGCAGAGTCTATGTCAATGACGTAGTAGGCGCACTGTTAGATGCCAAGAGCGATATCGAGTTATAAGTGTGAGAAGAATTGTTGGATTCCAGGACCGCCTAAAAGAAGACACTTTCCAAGGCATGCTATCATCAGGTGCTAGGGATGTCACAGGAGCCTCTTATCTCAAGACTTAGCATGCACGATGTCATGAGACTGCGTCTCATTTAGCACTGCAGCACTGCCCGGCGTCAGTCGTATTGCAAGGGTAACGCTTCCATTGGCTGTAGTACGTAGCATGCAGCTCTGAGCTGCAGTCATTATCTCGTGCGAGACTCAACATTGGTCTTCCCCAACACACTTCCTGTCCGCTCCCACACAGGCTACGCTCAATGATTGCTTTGCATAAAAACCAGCCGGTATCGGTAAAGACAGGGCCAACACCAGGTCACGCAAGGGCAAGGGAGAGAGCAACGGCTCATGGGAGAACGCCATTGCAGGAGCTGGTCAAGCAGATGGCAGGGAGTTCGAAGACCCATGGAGGAACCGCTGCGACTTCTTGTAGCGCACTTCGATCGTGCGCCGTCCACGGTCATGCGATGGCATATGACACGTAGCGAGCGGTCCAGGTAAGCCAGGTAGTCCAACGGAATCTTCGTTCGAGCGCTTGATACGAAAAACGAGGAAGATGAAAGATTGTGAGAAAGGATGAGACTTTTGGAGGTGTGGAGATTCAATTTGTTGGGCCTAGCATCAAATGCTTCGGATAATGCACCCAACGGGTACGGGCCGCAGCCCGGAGTAACGGGAGATAAGGAAGCCGGAGGACTTATCCGCTCCTATTCTGCAGCTGAATTTATTTTTTATCACGAGGATTCTACCACAGACCCTGTCGAAGCCGCTCATCACTCAAACCCGGGCAAGATCTTCGTTCCCTCAGCCCTCACGCCCTCCAACTCCCCGCCATCAATTCCCAACGCCTCCAATATCAGCGGTGCAACCTGCGTCGTAAAGACCCTCTGTGTGAACTTCTGCGCTTTTGTGATTCGAGGACTGCTAACGAAGCAAGCTACGTTCCTGTCGTCGGCGCTGAGACCGCCGTGCTCTTCGACCTTCTTTTTGGAGGTCGTGTAGATGATTCCGACCTCGGGTTGTACGATGATGTCGGGTACGAACGG